ATTTTAACAGCCACGTTACTAAAAGAGATGGTAAGCACATGAACAGATGCTCAGTATCATTGGTTAGTAATGAAATGCAAGTTAAAACCACTGAATTTAACAGACCAAGCATTGGAAAAGATGTGCGTGATTATTCATCCTGATGGACAGCTTGGTGGATGAGAAGCGCTTCTGGGTGTGTCTGGGTGTTTCCAGAGGCCAATGACCTGTGGGACGCGTGCCGAGGAGGGAGTCCTGCTTTGAATGTGGATGGGACCATCCATTAGGCTGGGGGACTGGATAGAAGGAAAAGGGAAGGAGGAGGAGCCCTGCCAGCCCATTCCCGTATTTCCCTTACCCCTCCTACCTGGTTGTCAAGGATGTGAGCAATTTCCCCTCATCATACCCCTCCACCGCGGTGTTTCTGCCTCATCTCTGAGTTCACCTTAGGAGCACCATGGCACCAGTGGGCCATGGACTGAAACCTCTGAAACTGAGCCAGAGTAAACCTTTTCTCCTTTAAATTGAACATTCATAGCAGCTTTATTTCTAAGATCCCCAATCTGGGAACAACCAGATTCCCGATTGCAGACTCTGCCCAAGGACTCAGAATCGGTCTGTGGTCTCCAGCCACCCCACACGGTACTTCATCTCGCAGCCCAGGACACTGCCGCAGGTCATCGGTGTCTTGGGTTGGGGGGCTGGGCAGGCTGTGTCAAGGCCTTTGACCCTCCTGGACAGCTTCCTGAGCCCCTCGGCTCTGGTCATCACTCCCACACATCTGGCTTGGTCTCGGAAGGCTGCTGCTCCTTCCTCTTGACCCGTGATAACATAGGAAACAAAGAGCTGGCCTTGTCCTCAGGCTTTGCAGAAGGAGGCCTTTGGTGTCTGGTCCCTGTTCTGCACCCCAGGGGACTGAGGACAAGGTTGTACAAGCATCCTCCTCGGGGACGCCTGCCCCTGCCTTGCAGATGGGCACGTGTCCCTGGCAGCCATGTCACAGTCTGCGGTGGGCCAGCCACAGCTGTATGTGGTACCTTTCTGTAGCGGTGTGCAGCTGTAGAAACAAGGCTGGGGTCCAGGGGGCTGCCTGGTGGTGCTGTGATGAGGGAGTGATGGGGTGGGTGTGGAGAGGAACCATTTAGCCTGGCATGATCAGAAGTTCTGTCCACACCATGCTGGCCTCTACCCAGCCACTGAGTGCTGTTTCCAGTCAGGCCAGGCCGTGTTGCTTTTCTGGAAGTAGTGGGTAGGAAGCCTCTCCTGAGCTACAGTTTTGCATCTGCTGACCTCCTGGCAGAGGTGGAAGGCCCAGGGCCAGCCCAGCAGTTACCTTGTGGAAGGCACTCAGTCAGTGGGCTCACAGGCACGGACACGCACACGTGCACACACACACAATGCACCGTACTTCCCTTGCACCCTGCATACCGCATGTGCACTGTGCCCTGTGTGCACTCCTTTCCCTGCACATACACGGTGTGCGGTGCACACCACTTAGGCTGTGTGCTCAGTGGTGGGGGTGTGTGCCCTAGAGGGCTGGCCACGGAGCTGGGAGACCTCTGGGTCCCTGTGTGCTTCCTGCAAACCCTTGAAGTGCTCGCCTGCCTTCACCCAGTTCCCCTTCATCCTCCCAGCTTCTCCCTGCATGGGTCTTGGCCTGGAGATTGAGGGGACTTGCCGCAGGTCTGCAGCCCAGAGGGGCAGGGGAGGAACAGGATGGCTGGGCTCTGGCCACGAATTCACTGCTGCCTGGGCTGTGCCACCCAAGCAGGCAGGGCCGCGCCTGGGATGTGGGACCCTGCCCACCGCTTCCAGAACAGTTAGTACCAGCCATTGATTCGGCTGCCAAGTTGAGAGCACCTCTTTTTCCCTTGTGGTACTGAGGATTGAGCCTAGGACCTTCACCCTGAGCTACATCCCAGCCCTTTCCAGATATTTTATTTTGAGACAAGATCTTGCTTAGGCTGGGCTTGAACTTGCCATCTGCCTGCCTCATATTCTAGAGAGCAGAGACTACAGGCATGTGGCGCCACGCCTTTGGGACACATTCTTTATGCACCAGCAGCGAGTTCCTGTAACTCATCACTTGGGCTTTTTAAAAAAGCAATATTGTGAAAAAACAAAAGAGAGGAAGGTTGGAAAGTGCAAGGAGAAGGAAAAGGTGTTCGTGTAAAACCCCGAGGTCTGTGACGGTGTCAGAATGAGGAAGCTGGGGAGCCGTGGGTCGCACAGCCGGGGGCAGTGGGCGTGTCTGGGCTGGACACCCGTGGGTATGCTGCCGTGAGACACACATGGAACTGAGGGTGCAACTAAGAGGCCCTGGCTAATCTGAGCCACAGGAGCAGGGGGAGCCATGGCCCGTGGGACTGATCTGCCGCTTATCAGCTTGACAGATTCCAATTACAGAGCAGAGGTTTTGCTCATGTGGGCTTTCCGCAGCTTTTCTGCAGAGTTCCCATGCACTCTGGGCCCCGCAGCAGGGGGCCACCGGCCCACCTGCCGTCTGAGCGCTCCCTGTGTTGGGCGCTGCAGCTCAGGGCAGCACCCTGGACAGCGCCTGAGGCCCACAGAGCCATGCGCTTCTGAATCAGGCAGGGCTGCAGGGTCCCAGAGGCTGGGCCAGGTCTCCTGCACCTGCCTGGGTGAGCCAGTCTGTACCCGATGGCCTCTCCCAGGACCTCACCCAGGAGGCTGATTGCAGGACGCCCCCCGCCAACGCTGCCTGTCCTGGCTACAGAAGTTGCCTAATTGTGAATGCAATTAGCTGCTCGTTACCCTCAAAATTAGCAAGTGCCTAATTGTGCCTGCAATTATCACCTGCACCCATAATTAACTGTGTGAGTAACTTTGTTACACAGGTCATTGTATGTGCCAATCTGGGCCCAGAAAAAGGGGGAGGCAGCAAGGAGAACTGGCTCTGCCCAGAGGTGGGGAGTGAGTGAAGGAGAGAGATGGTATGAAGACCAGGTGCCCAGACCCAAGCCCTCTGTCTTAGGGGGTGCTGGACTGGCCCATTTTCCAAGGAAGGGTACAGCTGCAGGTAGTGGTACCAGTTTAGGGCTCAGGTCACACAGTCACCAAGCAGCAGCATGACTTCCAGCACAGTGCCTGGCTGCTGCATCTCCACAGTGGCCATCTCCTCTCCTGGTAACAATGGAAGAAGCTTATTAATGAGGCCTCATCCAGTTCACAAGGGTGGAGCCGAGGCTTTGATCAGTCTGAGGCTTGAGCTCTGTGGGTGTCGCCTGTCTGTCTGCCCACTGCTCTAGGTCTTCCTGCTGACTTTGCCCCTGGGAGGCAACCTGCTCCTAGAAAGTGAGCTCTGCTCTCTGGGCTTCCGGGGCCCCTCCATGGCTGATCTGTGGGATCCAGCGGAGGAGCTGAGAGGAGGTGTGTCCCTCTTCCTGTCAGGGGCCTTCCTGGGCTCCTTGCACAAGCCTAAGTGTCCATGGCCTGTGTGTGTGGAAGCCCTGGCCATGGGCATCGTACGAGGGAAGGCTCTTGAGCTGGCACCTCCTTAGAGAAAAGACAGGGTCTGGACCTCTGAACCCTGGGGCCCATGGAGACAGCTCAGAGAGGCAGGAACCCAGGGCATGGGAGACCACATGCCAGTGAGGGCCAGGACACGTCAGCCATATGAATCCCAGTAAGTGGGGACTGTGGCACTGCTCAGGCCTGCACTAACACGGGGCTCACTGAGCGGTACTGGGAGCGGATGTAGTGCCCAGACCCCTCTGCCCCCAGCACAGAGGGCCTCAAGCTCAGTGTTGGCAGAGCCCTGCCAGGGAGCCCAGGAGGCCCATCCTGGGGATGCAGGCCCTGCCGTGTCCTTTTCCTGGGGCAAAGCAGTTAGGTGAGTCAGCTGGGAAGAGCCCCCAGGACCCACAGTGCAGGCACAGAGACAACCCCAGGGGTAGGGCTGGGGAGCCAGAGGTGAGGAGATGGTAGAGCTTTGGGCCTGCATGGGGCTGGGATCTGAGCTTTGGTGGTTTTACCTGCTGCTGTCCGCTGTGGTGAGAGACTTCACTTCAAAGGATGTCAGTGGCCGGAGGCCCATTGGTGTGCGTGTGTGTGTGTGTGTGTGTGTGTGTGTGTGCGTGTGCCGCGTGCCTGGCCTTGAGCTCCGGTTGACCATGGTCCTAGGTGTGGGAGGAGCCCACAGTGCCAGGGTCTGGGTTCCTCCTTGGACTGCTGTCAGGCGCCGGACCCTACTGCTCTTCTGGCCTCACGGGCCTCTCCTGCAGGTGGTTTCTGTGAGGCCCAAGGGATGTTATTGGGGGTGGTGGGGGTGACTCTGGGACCATGGGCTGGGACTTGTGTCCTTTGCAAAGTGGGACAGAGATGGGGTGGGCTGTGGGTCCAGGTCTCCTGACTCACTCTTGGCTGCTACATACAGCTCCCAGGAGTCCGGGAATTCTGAATTTGAACCAGGTTTTCCAAGGTGTTGATAAAGGTGCATGCTGAGCACAGTACAAGAGAGAAGACATTTTGTTAGCTGGATTATTAATTTCTAAGAACTTGGCAGTATTTATAATATGGAATGGGGGCCTCAAAAATAGAAGTGGGCCCGGTTTTGTTCATGTGTTTTCCCAGAGCCCAGGACAGTTTTGGGACATAGCATATCAGGTTCCCAAGAAGTATTTGCTAGTTGGGAATGGTGATGTGCACTTATGATCCCGGCTACTAAGGAGGCTGAAGCAGGAGAATCACTGGCCTGGGGAGGTCGTCTGAAAAAGTAAGGAACTGGCTGGGGTGTTGTGACAGGAGTGCTTGCCGAGCATGCGGAGCCCCTGGGTTAATCCCCTCCTAATGAAATCAAACAGATTCCTTGGCCAGTTCTCCATCGCTGATGGTAGAGAAGCTAAGGTGGAGCTCGAGAAGCCTGCCTGCCTGCCTGCTGAAGCCTTTGCTGTGTGAATGGGCCTGGTAGGGACACCATCTCTCTGACCGTTAAGCGGCTCGCCCTGAACCCCATGGCTCCTGGGATGCAGGGAAGAAACAAGCCACGCCAAGGCCAGCTACTTCAAGAGGACTTTATTCATCCTTTGGAGCAGCGTGCGAATGCCTGACCCCGCTCCAGCGCACGACAATTCTGCAGAGCCGCTATTCCATTTGGAACCAAGACCGCCTGGCACTAAAAACACATCGAAAACATCAACTCTCTCCCTTTTTTTTTCTTTTTTTTTTTTCGGTACAAAATGATACAAACAACAATACAAAATAGTTGTGCTGTTGACGGTTACAAAAGAAGTGGGAACATTTGTCGAAGCGCACAATGCTCAGAGTTTCAGTGTGCACACATCATTCTCCGGGTCTTTCCCAGGACAACCACAGTCATGCGGGCTGCTACACATTTGTCCATTTCCAAAAAGAAACATGCAAAAGAAAGCAGAATGAAGAGAAGAGCAAGGAAAAGTCATATGCGTTCCAGGTGTACACAAAGGTGCTCCCTGCTTGGAGCAGGGCCTGTTTGTTCTGTGTACGCTGTGCTCTGTGCAGGGGGTTTCTTTTGCTCTTTTGGTGGTATTTCTTTTAGTTTTGATGGAAATTGAGACTCCCCCTCCTCTGACTTTTACCTCGGAGAAAACAGAGTTGTCATCTCAACGGACCATGGACTCACACAGGGGAAACTGAGGCACCTCTGAGGGCCTGATGATTGGCCTTCACACTGACACTTTGGTGGCGGGAGGCCTAGCATTTTGGATGTGCTGAAATACACAAGAGAGAAAGCCCGCTGGCCAGGCGTGGGGCACACTGGGCTGACCGAGGCCAGCGTGTCCTGGACACGTTGCCTTGCAATGCAGGATTTCCCGGGCTAGCAGAAGGAAAAGCCTCCAGAGGAGCCAAGCCCTGCCTTGCACTCCACCAGCTGACGGGCCCTGACTACAGACATGTCGTATCTATGAGCTACGGAAGAAACTTTGACACTGGTCGTACGCTTGGCTAATGCTAACTTGTTGGCCTCGGAGAGGAGTTCCGAGATGGATCTGGGTGGGTATGGGGACCCCATCTTTCTCTGGCCCGGGGCCAACTGTAGTGTGGGGTGAAAGGGCGAAACCGTCTGCTGTTAGGGAAGAAGCCCCCCTGGGTGACCTCCCATGGGTGCTGCAACCTTGGCCTTGGAGATTTAGGGGAGGTGGAAGGGGTCTGGCAGTGAGGAGCCAGGAGGCCGGAGCACGCAGCACGTGGCTTTCCCGGGAGCCCAAGGAGGCCCTGGGATTTCAGAGAGCAGCTCATGGCTGCCTTGGCTCCTAACCATACACACTTCAAACAATCCATGCACACTCCTTGGGCTCAGAACTTCGGGAAGGGTGAACTGTCCAAAACACAAAAACAGAAAATCCCAGCTCCCATCCCCCCAGCCCTGGCACAGCAGGCCCTCCAATGACCATGCCCCCAGACACTCAGGACCATCTTACTGGCTGCCAGACCTGCACGATTTGCATAGCACAGCTTAGGACTGGGGACCCTCTTGGCCTAGGAGCTGTCTGGCCTGGCTGGCTGCAGGGAGCCCCGCGCCTGTGGCAGGGGTCAGTGTGGACAGAGCCCAGCTTGTATCCCACCCGTGCCGGGGAGGACAGAGGCGGGGATGTGTTTGGTTAGGGGAACCCTGACGTCCAATGGGACAAACCCACGAGTCCACTCTGGGGTGTCTAGGCCAAAGCTGTGTAGAAAAGGGGACCATCCTTAGCAACAGGCTCCTCAGTGGGTCCGAGGCCCCCAGTAGGGACATGCTGCCCCTGGAACTGTGGCCTTCCCACCCCTGCAGCAGCTGTGGGTTGGGGCCTCTGGGAGGGAGGGCACCCTGGCCCCCATGAGGTGCCAGGGGCCACGACCTCACTGCCCAGGGTGAGACAAAGTTGTCCAAGTGCAGAGCAGCCCTGGGCACAGATGCTCCGGGCCTGTTTTCCGTCCAGGGTCTGTGTGCTGCAGAACGGATGACTCCATCTCGTCGGGCCTGAGCCTCAGTAAGAGTTGTGGCAGCTCTGCAGGGACAACAGCAAAGCAGTGTTGGTGTGGGTCCAAAGGAGAGAGGTGAGCAGTTTCTGGCGTATGCAGGCCAGAGGCGTCCGTGACCAGGTAGCCACAGTAAGAGATCTCTCAATGGCCCCTCGGAGCGGGTCTTCGTTGTCCACGGCAGTTCCAAGTGTCAGGAGCTCAGGTCAGCCAGGCCGGGAGAAGAGAGGGGGCTGCCCGAGTCTGCTCAGGGCCACGCTGCTACCGAGCCTGCTGTGTCACTGGGAGGGAGGGGCCTGGGTGAGCTGGGGGCTGCCGGTGCTCACTGCCTTCGGTGGCGTCCTGTCCCTGGGGTGGAGGCCTTGTGCCAGGGCTTTGTGTGACACTGGCTTCTTGAACAATACACTCCTGGACCAAAGGCCAGGGGAAGCTCTGTGGCACCGGGGTGACAGCTGGTCTGGTGGACGGGGGAAACCGGGTGGCCAAGGGCAGAGGGGAGCCCCAGTCTGAGCTATTTACAGCATCTGGGAGTGGGGGTGCAGATCCACACAGCCTTGGCTTTGGTCGCTGGTCCTGGCCTGCTGGCCTTGAGCCTGAAGGGGCCCTGGACACTCTGCAAAGGCTGTTGGGATTTGAACCTCAAACTCTTACTTTAAATGAGTGGTTCATTTTTTTCTCTTAGTATAAAACCAAACCACAGCTCAGAAGGACTCCTTCCCCAGCCCTCGCTCGATGCGTCTGAAGAGGACCCATGGGGCTCGGGCCAGCGGTCGGGGGCGGAGGGGCTTGGGCTGTCTGCTGCTTCAGTCACTCCTGAGTTTGGGGGCTCTGACACGTGTACCAAAAGGCACTTTTGTTTTTTAACAGTGCGTTTGTCCTAGGAAATTCAAGTTGGGCAGTGCCTCTGGCTCTCCCTTCGGGGTAGGCGGCCACTGCAGTGGCAGCAGGCAGGTGTTCGTGCTAGACAGCTCCACATGGGGATGGCGGGGAGGGGCCTCCCGACACCAGAACCGCCCGTCCCCGTCTGTCAGTCTGTCTGTCCGTCTGTGTGTCCATCTGCGGGTCCACAGGCAGGGTCAGGAGGACCGGCTGCCCCTGCAGAGTCCTGATCCTCCTGTCCGAGCGCTGTTCTCGTTTGAGTCCAAAGACGGGGCCAGCTAGTCGTCCTCGCCGCCCCCGTACATGTCCGCCAGCTTCCTGAACCGGGGTCCCCAGTCGTTCAGGTAGTCGTAGTCTTGGTCACCGGAGCTGGACGAGTTCAGCGAGCTGACTGAGCCGGCGGTGGAGCCGCTCCCCTCATAGTCAAAGACCAGCAGGGAGTCATAGGGGGGCGCTGTGGGGTCGTTGTCAGCGGCTCGCAGCCCCTGGGGATCAGAAAGACGGAGTCAGGAAGAGGAGGGGTCCCGGGGCCTCGCTTGCAGGCTGGGGGGATCCTGCATTTGCCTGCAGTGCGTTCTGGGGCTGAGCGGAAGCCTGGTTCTGAGTGGGACCTGGAGAGGTTGGGTCATGGCCCAAAAACTCCCAGGGCAGGCAGGCTGGGTGGGGCCTTGCCTAGCAGTCTGTGTGGTGGATGTTCTGGTGACAGGGATGCAGGAGGGCAGTGTAAGGGTCATGTGCCATGACTAGAACTTGCGACGCAGCAGGGCCCTCGGAGCCTGCCTCACAGTGCCCCATGCCAGGGGCCAGGCTGCCTTGAGCACTGAGGATACACACCCCATTCCCCTGCCCTGGCAAGGCTGCTCTGTTCTACAGCCACAGGGGGAAGGAGTCCCCGGTGCCCACAGTTGGCTCTGGCTGGATCAGCCCTGGTGAACAACTTGCCCTCAAACTATGTCCTTGAGTTGACTTTCAGGGAGATCCACATTAAGACCAGAAATTGATTTAAGCTAGGTGTGCATGGCAGTGCACACTTGTAATCCTACCACTCTGGGAGGCTGAGGCAGGAGGGTTGCAAATTCAAGCCCAACCTGGACAATCTAGTAACTTAGTGAAACCCTATCTCAAAGAGGTGGGGCTGGAAATCGAGCTCTGTGCAAAGGCCCTGGGTTCAGTCAACTCCAGTGGGCTGATGACAGTGGCTACCTGCTGCCAGCTTATCAGGTGACTAGGTGCGAGAGTCACTGTGGGAGGTAGGAGCTGTCCCCAGGCACCAGCAGTCGCGTGCTGAGCTGGCCACATGGAGGTGGTGGGGTGGGCACTTGTGCAGGCCGAGCGTCCCTGGCTCTGCGGTGAGTGTCCCCCTGCTGCTGCCCCAGTAAGGAGCCCTGGGAGGAGGAAGCCTGGCCAGGCTTTGGGACGCTTCTCATATTCTACAAGGAGCCTGGGAGGGAAGGGTGCAGCCAATAGGAATTTCACTTACATTTGAATCCTTTTACCGAAAGAGACTTCTCACAGCCTCTCAGGCCAAAGAGAGGGACAAGATGGCCATGGTCACAGTTAGGACGCAAGATCCACAGCTCAGAGGTTGAGGCTTGGGTTGTTCCAGGGCTGAGCTGCACACACCTGCCATCTCTGGCCACCATGGGCCATCTCTCCCCCACCGCAGTAACTGCTGTCTTTCTTTCTCCAGGAAACATTTTTCCTTGGGTTGATTTCGCCTAGCTCCTCCAAATACGGTTTTGTCTCTGTATATCCACTTTCCAGGCCCCTCGTGCAGACTTAAGGCTCTTTCCTAGAATGTATTCTTGAGTGCCCCTCCCTGCTCTGGGAGGGCTGCCCTTCTCATCTTTCAGGGTTGAAGGGTTAGTAGTTTGCGTCTTCAGATTCTTCTAAGAGATATTTAAAAGGGGGCTTCCTCTGACCCCAGGACTCTGGGAGGCTGAGGCAGGAGGATCACCAAGTTCAAGCCCAGTCTGGGCAATGCAGAGACTTACTGAGACCCTCTCTCAAAAAATAATTTAATGAAAGAGCTGGGAATGGAACTCAGTGTGAAGACCCTGGGCTTAATCCCCAGTGCTGCAAAAACCCAAACTAATTAGGGTGGCTTTTAATTATAGGTGGGGGCTTTAAAATCCCAGGCTCTTCAACCCTTTGCTGGGCCACAGAGGTGGTGAGCAGCGCAGGCCCTGCAGCACTTCTGCCTGTGGCTGGAACACATCTTCTGCATGGTCTCAGCCCTCACCCCAGTGTCTACAACCCCAGTGTCTTGCACAGTTCCAGCCCGGCAGGCTGAAGTTCAGGCGCCACTGACCACCTCACAAATGGGGGAACCATGGCGCCCCGCCCTGTCCTCCAGGTGGGCAGCCTCCATGGACGGGAAGGGAAGGCTGCTGGGCAGAGCGTCTCCTCTGCTGTACCCCGAGGAAGGCCACATGGAGGTGGTGGAGTGGGCACTTGTGCAGGCCGAGCGTCCCTGGCTCCGCGGTGAGTGTGCACAGTGTGTCCGCAGGGCGGAGGTCAGAGGCGTGTGTTGGGCCCCCAGTGTCAGCGTCCCTGGCTCTCACTGCCCTCCCTGCTGCTGTATGGCTGTGGTGCGTGGGGTTCCTGTGAAGCCCCGAGTGCCCAGAGGTGACTCGGTCCTCCCTGGGCAGGTGCTGGGGGGTCCTGCCTGCTCCTCGCTCTGCTTGGCTGTCAGGCATTCTGGTAGGCTTTATTTCTAGAGGGGACCCCAGGCCTGGGTCCCCCCACTTATGGGAACGCACCTCGTTGATGAAGTCACCGATGTCACCGGGGTGGGGCACCACGGGCCTGACGGGGTATTGGGGCTCCGCGCCCACGGGCCGCTCATCTACCCGCCGCACCCCGGGGGCCTTGCTCAGCACGTGCTCCATGGCTTCTGGCTGCTGCAGCTGGCTGAGGTCGTAGTCCTGGGGCGGAAGCAGTTGTGTTCAGAGAGGGCAGAGTCCCCCACCCACCTCGTCTGGTTCTGTCCTGCACTGAGGTCCTGGGCCACAGTCTGGTCTCCGAGCACGTCTCCCGTCTTTGACCGCCCTCCCACAGGCCCAGTCTCCTTTCCGTTCGCCCAAGGCCTGCCAGTCCTCTGGGCATGTGTGGGGTCTATGTGCCCTCCTCTGCCGGGCAGCCCCGGAGCCTTGCCCAGATGCCCTTCCCCCAGGAGTGTTGGGCAGCACTGACCTGGGTCCTGCCCGAGGGAGAGGATGGGGAGGGTGGCTTCCTGGGGGGACGCAGCCCCCACCTGGCTCTGCACACTGCAAGGAGCACAGACACCTCCACGTGGAGGAAAGGGACCAAAAGCCTCTGGGAACCCAGCGCGGCCCTCCCGAGGCCGCTGCCGTCCCACCTGGTCCTCCTCGCCGCCGCCTTCCTCGTCGTACTTGAGGATGTTGTCCCGCACGTCATCCTCGGGGTCGATGAGCAGCTGCTTGTTGTGCCGCTCCTTCTCCCGCCGCTTCATCCACACGACGAACAGCAGGACCATGGCTGCGGGGAGGGCCGCCCTGTGAGCTGTGTGTGCACAGCCGGGTGTGGGGGACACATCTGTGCACACACGTGTACCTAGCTGGATGCGTGTGTGCCGTGCGTGCCCACGTATACAGGGTCGTCTGTGCAGCTCTGAATGGCAGGCACACACGTGTCCGCATACGTGCTCACGTGTGCATGAGGAAGTGCACCCATCTCTACATGGGCACAGTGCGTGTGCCCACACTGTGTGCCTGTGTGAGTGCGTGCGGTTTCCGGGGCAGGCTGGACTGGCTCCAGCCCTCTGGCCCACTCCCTGCTCGGCACCAGAACCAGGTCCTAGCCCTTTACCGGCAGTGGCGTCCTAGGGCACTGGCTGTCCCTGCCCTTGGCGATACCAGGATCTGTGTGTGCTCCAGTGCCTTGTGTCACACTTGTATAGAACCTATGTGCACAGTCCCCTCCCAGCTGCTGCTAAATGACTTCCATAACTGATATAATATACACCTTAGGTAGACAGTTGTTATACCATGTTGCTCAGGGAATATAAGGAGAAATCTATGTGCTCAGCACAGGCACTGATATTTTTCTAAGTATTTTCAACTTTCAGTTAAATGAATCCCCAAGGTGTGCCTCTTCCCGCCTCCCATGCCCCCTTGTTGAGTTTAGGGAGGCACAAGAAAGCACTGGAATACGTGCCTTGGATTGGCCAATGGGCACAGCCCATTCCCTGGCTGGTGACTGGTTTCCAGGTGGGCATGTGACCTGAGCCAGCCCAATCAGAGAGAGCCCTGAAGCTTAGAGATGTTGACAGGTGGGTGTCCTTCCCCCAGCACCCACTGGAGGGCCTCCTGCAGGCATTTGAGGCCCTCAGGGAACCAGATTTGGGGTACAGGGGCTCTTGGGAGGTAGAATAGGGAGAGGGAAAGGGGCCAGGCCACAAGAGACACCTCAACTTCCTGGATCCCTCAGCCCCCATGGGCTTGGCAGGAAAAGCAGCCCATGCGGACTGGCTCAGTGGGGCTTCTGAGAGGTTTCTGGCAGGGGATGAGGCCGAGCCACACGCTGAGGTGGGACCTGGGCCCTGCCTGGCCCTCACGCCCCGAGGCCCCATGCTGGCCGCACTCACTCAGCAGGATAACGATGCAGATAAGGATGGCCACGATGGCGCCTGTGCCCAGGCCGGCCGCGGCCACCGCGCCAATGGTGGTGCAGTCGCCGTTCTCGTCACACGGGCACACCTTGACCTTGATGACAGACGTGTGGGACAGGGGAGGGTTTCCAGAGTCTGTGACGATGATGGGGACCTCGTACATCCCGGCCTCCAGGTACAGGATGCGCAAGCTCAGCTGGGCATAGTCACCTGGAGCAGAGACAGCAACAGCAAACCTGCAGCAGATAGGCAGCAGGTGGGCAGCCCTCCTTCTGGGCAGGACTTCCAGAGGGGCACAGGTCCCATGCACAAAAACTGGAACTGCCTGGTCACACACACACACACACACGCACACGTGCGCGCTACTCCATTAAAGACATAGGCAGTGCAAGTAAAAGGCAAATTCCAACATGAAGGGTAAAGAAAATTTACTGAATAACAGTTTTATCAAATCATTTAGGGAAAAACCACTCCAAAGAGAAACTGGCAAAACCACTGCACAGAGCTCACAGCGCCGTCCACTCGGAAGAGTTCTGGTGCCTTTTAGGCCAGATTCCGTGTCCAGGGCAGCGTGTAAGGAAGCGGACAGGCGGCCCTGGAGCAGGAAGTGAGCAGGGCGCTCGTGGTGTGCGCTGGTGAAAGGAGCGGCCCGGGAGTTGCCCTGCAGTCTGTTGGGCAGGGTCCGGGCTGGACGTCTTCCTCTAGGACCCTCCCCGCCTGCCCTGTGCTGTTGGGGCTGCACCCCGTGCCTTGGCGCTCCCCGCCTGTGGCTGTGCTCACCATTCAGGCGTGTGATGGTCCAGTTCTTTCGCACGGTGGCCGGGATGAAGGGCAGCTCGAAGACGTAGGGGCCGATGTTGGGGTCCACATCGGCGTCGGCCGCGGTGATGTTGATGGCGTTCAGGCCTGGCTTCTCGCAGACCTGTGCCTCCTTGGGCAGCAGCTCTGGGGCATTGTCGTTGATGTCGATGAGATAGATCTGCAGGGTCCCGGTGCCACTGGCCGGGGGGATCCCTGTGGGACAGACAGGGTGACCATGCGGGGCCACGCCTGGAGCTCCATGACCCTGGGCAGACCATAGCCCCGGGCAGGAGAGAAGCGCTACACAGGAGCCACATACAACACCTGCAGGGCCACACCGGTGCCCAGCCACAGCCCCAAACCTGCCTGACAACCACACAGCTGCACATGGCACAACACACCCCTCCTGGCCCAACCGGCCTGGCCCGGCCCTCGGGAAGCCCAGAGGTGTCCATTGTGCCAGCCGAGCCCAGGTCCTTCTCTCTGGGGGCCCACGGAGGGCTCCGAAGGTCCCATGGTCTTCTGAGCCTTTCCTTGCCTCCCTGCCTTTCCTGATTTCCTGCCCTGCTGTGCTCAGAGAGACTGGGTGTCCTGAGCCCAGACACACAATCAAAAGGAAGGGCTGACCAGGGGCGGTGGGACATACCAGCCATCCCAGCACGTGGGGGGCTGAGGCAGGAGGATTGCAGTTGGGCAGTTTAGATCCTGTCTCAAAATAAACTTGAAGAAGTGCTGGGTGTTGCTTGGAGCTCCCTGGGCTCAGTCCCCAGCACTGCACACTGTTCTGGGCACAAACTGTCCCAGGAGCCTTGGGAATGGGCTCTGTGTTGTTTGCCTCTGGCCTCAGTGTGAACAAGAGGGCTCTGCTGAGGGGTGGTCCTTGTCCCCTGGCCCTCACACCCTGGGCCAGCGGTGCTGGTGGACACGTGGTGTGTGGGCAGGACATGGGCGAGGTCTGTCCCCAGGCTTGGAGGTGGCAGTGGTGACAGCAGGGTTCAGGCCGCGGCTCAGCCCTCACATGGCTGCTCCTGGCCCTGATGCGTGACAGCGCGTGTGCTGAGGCCGGCGGAGCGCGCACACCTTTCTTGCGGTGGGGCCATCCCATCTGCTGGCACATCCAAGGTGCCGCATACCACGCTGCGCTCCTTTGGAGCGGCTTTGGTAAAAGGCGGTTTGCTAACGGGGCTCCCTCTCCCCCTGTACCTCCTGGCCCCTGGAACCCCCAGGGCGGCTTCCTGTGTGATTGGGGAGGCTGGCAGGGTGGGTGGGTGCCGTGCTGGACTTTCTCTTGTGAAGGGACCAGCTTTGGGGCCACAGCTGCTCTTGCTGTGCAGCGGTGCCCAGGATGCTTGGCGGGGCCCCGACTCGGGGTCATCCTCCCTCTGCACCTGCCTTGGCCTCTCCTGGTCATGTGGGTTGTGGTTCAATGGCAGGCAGCACCTCTTAGTAGAGGGGAGCCCTGGACACTCTGTCCCATCTTCCTGTTTCTTTCCTTCTCCAGACTGAAGTTACCTGACTTGCTGCCCATCTATAAGACTACATTTCCCAGCACCCCTTGCAGCTAGCTCTGGCTGTGTGACTGAGTTCTGGCCTCCACAAGCTGTGTGCAGAGGCCTTGTATGGTGCTTCCTGGCAGTGCTTGGAAGCACAGTGGTGTGCCTTCACCCTCCCTGCATGCTTTCTGTTTGGCAGAATGGCTGTGATGAGCAGAGCACTGGCAGCTATTCCGGACTGTGCTGTGTCAGAGCCGAGACAGGCTGGCTACTGAGCAAGCCTGTGCCTCAGGCCTGACCTGGACTGTCCAGCTCCAGCTTTGAGTGTGACGGAAGTGAGCCATCAGTGCTGCCGAAGTTCACGTCACGTTACGGAGCTGAACCTGACCCTGCACATACACTTGGATGTTGGCTCAGGGAGGCAGGAACTGGGCTTGGCTGACAAAAAGCTGTGTGACTGTTGTGAGGAGCGGTGGTGAGGGTGGCAGTGAGAGCCATGGTGAGCGTGGCCCAGTGCTCAATTATGCCACCAGCCTGCCTTCTGTGCTGTGCCACAGCTCATTTGTGGCTCAGGGAAATGAGGGCAACCCAAGAGAAGAAACAGAGGCACCAAGGGCCCAGTGTCTTCCCGTCAGGGCGCAGTGTGGCTGCAGAATCTGGTGCTGTCTGCCCCTAGTCCCAGGCCTAACCCTAACCCTAGCCTAGCCCTGTCTCTCTAGCTCTGTCCCTTAGCTCTAGCCCTCAGGAAGGCTCAGCTGGCCTTGGGCTGCAGGGCTGCGGGGAGGGGGCTCCCAGCTGCAAGCTCCCAGAATCCCACTCCTCCAGGCCACCCCCACAACCTGGCCAGCTGGCTGTCCCTCGCTTCTTGGTCTTGTAAGGCCTCTGTGTGTGGGTGGGGAAAGTGAGGCACTAGCTGTTCATGCTGCAGCGTTAAGCAGGGGCAGGCTGGGATGGCCTCTGAGCCCCTGGAGCCACAGTGCACGAGGGGGATGATGGACCTGGGACAAGTGGGGCCCTGGTGGGTAACGCAGGGTGAATGAGGGGGCCTTGCTGGGGGACACGGGGAGGTGACCAGCCCTTGTCACAGCGACCTTGGATGGCCCGCCCTTGCCCACCGCACCAGACCCGGACAGGCGCACCGTTGTCAGCTGCCAGGAAGGTTGCCTCGTAGACGTTGTTTGTGATGTACAGGGACTCGCGGTCCAGCACAGCTGCCGTGGTGATCTGACCATTGGAAGTGTTGATGTGCAGCCAGTTCGCAGGGTCTGACAGCTTTGAATACCTGCAGGGGTGAGGAGGGAGCCAGGGCTGGGGCGCCCCCGGGGCACCTCAGAGGTCGGCAGCCTCCCCTGCCGGCCTGGACTTTGTGGATGACAGGACTGAGACGGGGGAGCCCTCTGCTGGACAGGCTGGGCTGCGCACCCACCTCACAGCCTGCTGCACGAAGCGGTCAGGGTCCACTGCAGAGAAGGTGGTGAGCGCTGTGCCGGCCGGCACGCCCTCCTCCAGGCGGATCAGCTTGCGGTTGGAGGGGAAATAGGGGGCCTCGTTGATGTCGGTGACGGAGATGGTCACGCCCGCTGTGGACTGGAAGGACATCTGGATCCCGCTGGCCAGGGGCGCCTGGTTGGACACCATCACGGTCAGCATGAAGGCCCTATTCAGCTCGTAGTCCACTGCCTGGAAGGGAGAAGGGGCCGGTCAGCCTGTGTGGCCAGCCCTGCCCTGCTTCTCTGGCTTGCTCTGGCCCCAGCGCTCCGGACCTGGTTTCTGGCTTCCTGTGGGTTTGGGCAATGGCAGGAGATAGAGGTTGGGGTAAAGGACCCCAGGGCCTGGCGAGGTAGGAACAGTGTTCCAGCCTCTTCTCTGCTGGGAGCGCTGCACTGTGGATCACTGTGGCCCCGCCTAACTCGCTCCTCCCTCAGATGAGGCAAGGCCTGGCCGAGAAGAGGGCTGTCTTCCTCCGGCCCGCTCGCCATAAAGCCGGCAAACGCGACCTCCCGCAGACCCTCGCTGCTCTCCCTGTTCCAGTCACGGGCACCCTTTGGGCTCCCCCTGCACTTCCTTTATCTCTGCACTATCAGTGGCTGCAGGTGCCAGCCAGTCCTTTTCTCCCGTCAGGAGGGAGGCTCCACCTGGCCCCAGCTTTTGTACCTCTTCGTCTGTCTTTGCTTTGTCCCCACTGTTCGCCCTCCCTGCACCCTCCAGCCGCACAGGCCGAAGCACTGATGCAGGCCGAGCACTCATGGGCTGCCTCCAGCTCAGGGCACCCCGCTGGGAGTGATGGCTGATGGGGTCCTCCAGGAAGGACAGCCTCTGGTGTCTGTGAGTGGGTTTGGAGACAGGGTCTCTGCAGACGCCGTTACGTTGATGGAGAAGGTAAATGTCTCAGGATGAGGTTAGCCAGCTCAGAGAAAGGTGAAGGGATTTGAGACACAGACACAGGCAGAGGCCACGTGCAGACAGACCTGGATCGATGGAGGCTCCGAGCCAGGGAGCCCCAGAGGTTGCTGGCATCCCCCAGAAACTGAGGGAGCTCTGAACGGATGTTCCACAGGGGGGAGCACAGCCCTGTGGCACCTCGACCTCAGACCCCTGGCATCCAGAGCTACAGGGAATGCAGTTCTGTTCTTTGTTTTCATTTTGTTGTTTTAGCATTGGAGATTAAACCCAGGGCCTTTGCACTGAGCTACATCAGTGCATCTTTTTTTTTTTTTTAAACTTTGAGACAGTGTCTCACAAAGCTGCCTAGGCTGGGTTTGAGCTTGTGATCCTCCTGCCTCAGCCTCCCAGAGTCCTGGGATTATAGGCGTGCATCACCACCTCTGGCTGATTCTGTTGTTTTAACTCCACCAGAGTGTGATCTGTTACTGTGGTCCCTGGACCCTAGCACGCCAGCCTGTGGCCTCAGGAACAGGGGTGCAGTTCTGCTCTGGGTGGGCCAGGCCCTGACTGACGGCCGGAAGCTTCTAGCCTGTGGTTGGAGGTGCACTGTCAGAGAAGCTCTGCTCAAGCCTGGCATGCACATCCGGGAGCCAGGAGCTGCACAGAGGTCTCCTGAGACCCCAGACTCAGAGCTGTGCAGCGGCAAAACCAGAAACAGTCTGGTGGGAGCGGGGTCACCACAGGACTGGGCGTATTGCAGTCGCGTTGAAAATTCCGCCTGGGCACAGCCGAGTGGCACGCGCGTGAGTTATGGATCCCGGGGAGGTTACGGGCAGAGGCCACAGCCCCACATCTGTTGGCAGCTGCAGCCAGCCTCACACCGTGCACCCTGGAACTTGGTGGAAACCTTGGCCTGGCGCAGCGGTGCCCCTGTAACTGCAACTCAACCTGGCCAACGTGGGAGACTCGGTCCCCAAATAAGTCAGAGCTGGGGTGTGGCGTAGCGCTGGAGTCCCCCAGTACAGACCTCCTAAGCTGCCTGACAGCTCTGTTTCTTTGGTACCAGGGATGAACTCGGAACCTTGCGCCACTGAGCCAAATCCCTGGCCCTTAACCACTGTTTGAACTTTGCACCTGCTGCTCCCACTTACAACTTCTTTTGTGCAGTTCTGTGTCTTGTTTATAGCCCCAGTGCCCTTTTTTGTGCAGTGCACCTTGTTTACTGTAACGTTTGCTGACTGGACCGCACATACTGTGGTTTTATGTTTTGTTACACGTCACAGTACTGCATGTAGGAGTTACACGGAAAGCAAAGTGATCACGTTGGAGTTTCCTTTGACTGCCCCTTTGTTCTGAGTGTTGCACACACACCACTCACAGTTCCTCATTCAGCGACCAGTTCATTGACTGGCCTCATGAAAGGAACAGCACGAGGCGGGAAGGCAAGCTGAACCCAGGGCACCGGAGCCAGCCCAGGCCCGAGCGCACTGTGACCACAGCTCATTCAGGCACCGAGTACCTGACAGCCCACGCGTTCATAATAACAGGAATGAGAAAATGCAAATGCAAAGCAGAACAACAGAAGCAGCCCCCACACGGCTGCTGGCTGTGCAGTGGTCTCCGGAGACAGCGGGGCCTGAGCCCTGGCCCCTGCGCCTTCGCCTCCCGTGGCAGAGGACTGAGATGAGGGAGCCGAGGTCTGGAGGCCACAGCAGCTGCAGGAAACCTGGCAGACCCCACCCTGGGCCGAGCCTGTGTCTGCCTTTACCAGGCTGAGGCGGGCTGGGCTGAGGGCCCCACCTCTGCCTTCGGGGCCAGCAGTACAGAAGTCCTCTGTCCCTCTGTCTCTCAGGTCCTGCCTTAGTCCTCACGGCTTCTCTCACTCTAACCCCCTGTCTCCTCTTTAAAAAATTTTTTGTTTTCTTTTTGAAACAGAATCTCACTGTGTAGCCCAGGCTGGCCTCGAACTCATGGCCATCCTCCTGCCTCAGCCTCCCGAGTGAGTGCTGGGGTCACGGTGTGCCGCCATGCCCAGCTCTGCCTCCTCTTACAAGGAGCCATGGAGTGTGCTGGGCCTGCTGGATAATCGGGATCCTCTAGACCTCAGCTTCGGCTCCCTTTCACTTCCCTTCGCTCTCCTGTGCAGTCACTGCTGTCGAGCTTCCCGGAGTGCGCCACCCTTGGGGGCTGTCACTGTTTCAGAGCACCCACGGGCCTGACGGGTGAGGATGCTCCTCCGTACAGGAAGGTTCCAGGGAAGGGTGACTGGTTTAAAAGTACCTCTTGTGCACTAATTCACTTGGACCGTGATTTACCGCCACAGGGTAGAGCAGCGGTGCCTGGTGCACAGCTGGGCATCTGCAGGGCACCGGGCAGCAAGCCGTGGGGTCAGGCCGTTCAGGCTGAGCTTGGCCATGTCCTCAGCTGTGGGGCAGTGGGGACACGGAGGCCAGCAGACAGGCCAGGCGGCGTGTCCCAGACCGAGAGGCCGTGAGGCGTTCCCACCATGCATAGCAATACCAACATAACTTTCTATAAATTATGAAGATATTCTCTTATTTATACTGTCCAATAAGGTAGCCCCTACCTAGCTACAAGTAGCTAACGTGTGTTTGCAACATGTCTTATGAAACTGAGGTACTGAATTTTTACATTGTGCTCAGTTTTAATTAAATAGAAATTGTCAGGATTTGTGACTGCTGCTCTAGGGAGCGATGTGGGCACTGTCCCGGCCAGGCTGGAGTCACTAGAGACCACTGTAAGGGAAGCCGAGTATAAAGTCGGACAAGGAGACACGGTAGCTTTGTTAGGCGTGACGGTCGTGTGGCCACATAAGTGAGTATATTTTTGGAGGTGATGCATCCTGACATGTTTAGAAGTGAAGGAACATGAGGTCTGGGAATGAAAAAACCACTTCAGCAGGTCGGTGATTTAGTTCAGTGCTGCTGCCTGCCTCAAGTGCAAGGTCCTGAGTTGGATCCACCGTTTGGAAAAAACCCAAAACAAACCAAAAAAACACGTCAGCCAAATATGCAGATGAAGTATTGCAGACGGCTGGGTTAGAAGTGACTATACCCAGTTAGACAAAGCCAGGCCCAGGCACAGAAAGGCAATTCACTGTTAGCATTATAAAGGGAAAAGAGGCGCCATTTCCCCTAGAGGAGTAGCAGCCATTGACATTCTAAAGAGGCATCCATCTCCCCGGCCCATTTCCTGTCCGGAAATTCGTCGTAGTGACTTGCTTTCCTATCTGATCCCCATTTCGTCAATATTATCTGTGATCTTACTGGTCGATCATGGTGTTGCCCCACCTCACGCCCACCTTGTGATTTTCTGTTGGGTCTTACAGTTTTGTTTCACCTGAACCTACCTCACCTCGTGGTTTTGCTTAAGAAAACGCCTTTGAAAAGCGGGGTGGGTGGGCAACCCATTTCCCGTTTCCCCTCCTGTCTCTCAGAAGCTACCTTTCTCTCCATAGAATTTCCTGCTCTTAAGCTCTGCTGTTCCTAGAGCTTATTCTCTGACCTTAGCGAACGTGGACTGGCGTTTCCGGGTGTCTTGCAGGTCTGGGGGTGGCATCCGTCCCCTCTCAGAAGTACCTGGCAGCTGGTTGCATGAGGTTGCTGCAGTTGCTTCTTGGCCTGGAGGCCTTGTGGGATCTTTGAGCAGTTTTGGTCCTGGAGCCCAGCTTCTGGCTCCTCTTGCCCACTTGGCTCTGAGCCTGGCCCCACTTAGGGCAGCTGTGACAGGCCCTTGGCTGGACGCACACGAGCCTGGGGGCTTCACGTCCACTGTGTTTGAATTTTGTGAGCTCTCCAGTCACAAACTGATGCATCAGACTGGTGCTTCTCAGCTACTTTACAAAAGGCAGTATCTGAGTGCGAAAAGAGGAATTGAAAGGTCAGGTAGCAACTGGGCACGAGAAGGAAACTGAGTCAGGCGCGTGAGCCAGCGTGAGCAGGGCTGTGCTTGGTCCCTCTGCCTCCTAGCACCAGCATCGAGTCGTGGAGGTTGGGACTGGCCGTTGCCTCTTAGCTCCCTGTTCGCAGAGGGGTCTGGCACCTACAATGTCACCCTGGCAGGCCTTCCGTGGCCCAAGATGACCTCAGTGCAGGATGGCTGGACGCCTCTCCTGCTTGTGCAGTCTGCAGGCCAGAAACAGTGGTGTTGGGTCCTCGGCCTGGTGCCTGTCCCTGGCTCCTGGATACCTGTGAGCATCAGGCCCATATTGTGACCAGGTCCCCCGTGCCACAGAATCGAGCCCCAACCATACCAGCTGGGCTGGGCAGGGTGTTCAAACGCTGCTCCTGAGTTACGGCGGTGCCTACTGCATTAAAAATGGTGTCGTGGCCTGGGCGAGGAGGCCTTCCAGAAAGACGATTATTGGGGGCCAGGGATTTAGCTCAGTGGTTTGGTGGCCTGCCTTGCAAGCGCAAGGACCCGAGTTCAATCTCCGATACCAAAAAAAAAGAAAGACGATTATGGCCAATGAAAGTCCCAGGAAGGTAAAATAAAACACATTTGTAATGGAGAAATCAATAAGCACTTTGCTCCTGCAGTTTCTGTTAGGGCAGCTGGGCACACTGGCATGTGGGCGGGGTGAGCCCTGGGCTGGCCAGGAGGGTGTTGGCACTGGGGTGCGCAGTTCCACACCGCCCCACACTCAGGACACTGTTCCAGGTTCCAGGCCCCTGAGCGAGTCGCAGGAGGGCCGTGGAGGTGGGGGTCGGTGCTGAGCCGGGTCGCTTGGGACCTGAGGCTGTGCAAGTGCTGTTCTGAGGCAGGCAGGAAGTGACAGATGTCCCTGGGGTTGGGACCTGGGAGCAGACAGCCAGAGGAGGCGGGCTTGTGCCCATCGAGAGAGTCACCTGGGAGGACTCGGCTTCCTGGCTGCACACAGGTCTGTCCCGCCCTCCCCAGAACTGTGTATCAAGGTGACAGACAGCCACCTCTGGGAAGGACAGTTGATGCAAAGAAGGACAAGCTAATAAATGAAGAAAGGTAGAACAGGAAAGTCCCCAGGAAACTGACGCAGCTGCCAAGGGTCGCACAGACCGTGGGACCTGGTACTGTGGGGACAAAATACCAGCCCCCGTCAGCCTTTGTCCAGCCTCAGTCCATCAGCCTCTGCTGCGTACGCTGGGCCTCCAGTTTGAGGATGGGTCGTGACTCAGTTTCTTCTAGAAGCGGCACAAACATAGGCGGGTGTTTGTCAGTCCTGGCTTGACCCAGACAAAGACGGCTTGGCACAGTGGGTAGTGCTGAATGTGGGTGACACCAATACGACACAAACAGGGGTGGTGGATTGGAGTGGCACCCAGAGCAATCGCCGCCGCTCTGGAGCTTCCAGATGGAGTGCACTGGTTGAAACGTTGGGACGAATGAATTTGCTCTGCGCACTTCAGGCAAAGGACTTGTGAGGTGGAAGGAGATGCGAGCGGTGTCTGCTCTCGGGTCCGTGGACGGGACATACTTCACCGTCCTTCTGCTTTTCTGTGTGGTAGAAAGCTCTCAGGAAGGATTAAAGACAGGAATTTACCACGAGCCTGCAGCAGGACTGGCCTTTGGCAGCTTAGGCTGCTGCATTATCGATAACAAAGAAGAAGTTTGGGCCGCTGAGGGCGGAGGACGAGTCCCTGAGAAAACCCCTTCCACCTCGTGTGCTAGGTCCTACAGCTTCCCCTTCTTCCTTGGTTTGGAAAATGTGTCAGCTGACAAACCATGGCACCCAGTACCTCCTCTGGCTAAGAATGACCACTGAAAATTCTCCCTAAGAAGATGTAGACAGATGTTCTGCAAGGTCCTAGGGTAAAGGAGGGTTCCTGAATAAAGATCCTTTATTTTAAAGGGTCTGGACAGTTCCTTAATTTAGAAGAGGCAGGGCATTTTTTTTTCTTCTTTTTGCTATCCTGCTGCTTGTAAAATTCTTGTAATGGCTGGAGCTCTTGCAGCTGCTTTGTACCACAAGGTGCTCTAAGGGAAGAAAGCATTGCACAACAGAATGGAAAGATGGAAGGAAGGACCCAGGTCTCTGTTGATGATGAAGTTGTCCTCTGGGCCTCAACTCCTGGCCTTTGGATTCTTCTTACTTGAGAGAATCAAACCCTCAGGTGTTAAGTTTCTGTGGTAAACTCTGTGTGACTTGCAGCTTAATACAGTTTCTAAATGATGCAGCCCCACATTAAACTTGCTTTCCTTGCACCTCCTGGACATGCGCAGTGCAGCTTTGAGCTCACCTTCCTGTTACCTTTCTCTTGTGTTCTTCTTAGTCCTCTTAATAGCAGTTTGGAACGATAGCCACTAGCACGCTTCATGCTAAACCGGCAAAGAGGATGGGCTTCACTGTATCACCCAGATCCATCCCCCAGGGCCAGAGGAGCGAGTACAGAGAGAAGCGGGCTTAGAGGTTGAACTCCACTGCTGCAGTGACACCAGGGTTAGGTGGACACTTTTCTCGAAAAGCACGTGACCAAACCATCCCAGAAAGTGGGCCACGCTGAGATAATGGCACCAGACCGACAGCCACCCGGAGGTGTAATGAACGTCACAGGCACAGAGGGGCACGGCCTTGTGTCAACCTGCCTTGGAGCAGTCTACATAACCTGGTGCTAAAACCCAGAGCAGATTCCCGGCAGAGGGGAACAGTAGGTCCAGAGCACACGGAAAAACACGGGGCCCTCAGGTGTCCGCAGAAGAATCTACTTCTTATTCTATAGTCCCAGCTACTTCGAAGGCTGAGGCAGGAGGATCCTAAGTTTGAATCTCAAACTAAAAATGAAAAGGGCTGGGATACAGCTCAGTGAGAAGGCCCTGGCCTCAATTCCAGCATACACACGTGTCATAGAACCCTGCTACTCCACCACTGGATTCATCTCGGGACTCGAGGTGTTTGGATGGCAGAAGGCCCATTCCTGACTCACCTGTGGGAGAACAGGAGGGAAGCACAGGAGGGAGACAGCGGGGTGTTGGGGAGGACTGGGAGACTGCGCGGCACCACCCACCTTCACCACGGTGACCATGCCCTCGTTGGTGACGGGGTCGGTGCGGACGCTGAAGTGGCCCGCGGGGTCCCCGCTGATGATGCGGTAGACGGCGTTCCAGTTGGGTGAGTGGGGCTGGTCGCGGTCCATCACGGTCAGGTTCGCTACCACCGTCTCCACGCGGTTCTCGGGGACCTCTCCTGTGAACTGCGCAGCGCAGGAAGGGTGGTGTTAGGCCCAGTGTGTGCAGCCTGGACTCCCCGCCTGGCCCAGTGCCCGGCCCTGCTGGGCCCAGGTCCCCTGCCTGGCTCCGAGCCACGTGAGGAGGACCACATGATGATGCGGCTGCTTCACCAACTGGCACTGGGCAGCAGGGTCTGGCCGGGTGGAGTGGGGCTGGCCGTCATCGCTGTGGACCCCCTGTCCGCCCAGGAGTGAAGAACCAGGGAGAGGCTCTGGGAGGCCCACAGACAGGAGCGGCCCGGTGCCCACGTCCCACACAGGAGCCACGTGGCTTCCAAGACAAGATGCCAAGCCAATGGAGGAGAGAGGCCCACTTGGCCCTGCGCAGCACCAGGACCCAGGGCTGCCCCTCGATCAGAGAAGGGCCTGGTACCTGACTGGAAGTGGGAGCCACTGGTGTGATGGAGCGGCCTGCATGCAGGCGAGGTCCACCTCCTGACCCAGTGGCCAGCACTGGAACCCGGCAGCCCTGGGTCAGGCTTCTGAGGGGTCTGGGAGGCTGATGTTGCCCTGGAGCGGGGGCTGTGCGGCTCACCCTCCTGTCCCCAGCTTTCCCAAGCCAGCTGTGGGAACTGGCGTCGGGACAGACTGGGGGAGGACCTGGCACAGCATGCGGAGGGGGGCAGACTAGCCAGACAGAGTGGCAGGGAGCGCCTTGCCCAACTGGGATTCTGCTGCCCTCGGGTCCTGGGCAGACAGAAGAGGATGCTACTGGGGAAAGTGGGAGGGTGGAAGGAGCTGGTCCCCTGGGAGCAGTGGAGTCCGGGGCCTGCTGTGGGTGCTGAGGTAACAGCAGAAGGGACTCCTCCGGGTGGGCTGGCAGGGTCTCCATCTGGACGGGGCTGTACTCCCTGGCCCTGGGGGCTAAGTCCACTGCAGGGACTGGGAGCTGCGACCCCCACGCTCCAATGCGACAGGGCTGTGGCCAGGCCCCCTCAGCCCCAGAGCAGCATGCACTTTCCCGCTCTCCACTTCCCACATGTGGCACGGGGTCACCGTGTGTCTGGCCCAGTCCTGTTTGCCCTTGGCACCTGTGAGCTGAACCTGGCTTGGGTTCATCCCCTAGGAGGTGGGCACCATCTTTCCCCGTGGTCACAGCTGAAGGACAGGCAGGAGAGGGCACAGGCCCTGCTGTGGTCTAGGGAGGCCCAGGAGCTGGGAGAGGTGGCAGGGCTGGGCCATTTGCCACAGGAAACAGCCCAGATGAGCCTCAGTTTCCCCAACTTGGCTGGGCCATTTGCCACAGGAAACAGCCCAGATGAGCCTCAGTTTTCCCAACTGAAAACCAGAGCGAGGCATGTGTCTGCTGGCCTCCTTGGATGGTGGGGAAGCCTCGAGCTGTGAGAGATTCCTGCAGGATGCTTTAGGAATTCTGAGGGAAGGACAACCAGTGTGTTTACATCCATGGCTTCCAAGCAGGACAGAAGGAAGCGGGACAGCGGAGAACAGCTGCTCACGTTATGGTGGCAGGGAAGCAGAGACAGAAGGGAAATGTAGGCCACGCCCCACCGACCAGCCCCTTCCAGTGAGACCCTGCCTCCTAACACCAAGAGTTATGGCTTTGTCTAGATGTCCCCCACAGCCGCATGCGGTCATACTTGTAGCTCTTTTTTTTGGCACCTGGGATTGAACTTGGGACCTTGTGCTTGAGAAGCAGGCGGCGGAACCACTAAGCTAAATCCCTGGTCCAGGTGCAACTTTTTCACAGGTGGCTGGATCTGGGGTGTGTAACTGATTCCTGGTGCAGTGCTAGGGTGAATGGTGGGTGATCACTAAATTAGTCCACTGCTCAGTCTACCACCCTAATCCCAGTAGCCTGGATAGAATATAAAAGGGGCAGAAAAAAAGCTGCTAAGGCCCCTTGCTTGCTTACTTTGCTGCCTTCTGCCCTGCCATGGACTGTTTCTCCTCTGCAATGCCCTCTGCCAGGCCACCCTGCCTTGGAGCCACTCACTATGGACTGAGACCTCTACAGACTGAGAGCTGAATAAACCCTTCCTCCTTTAACTTTGGGTGTTGGGTACAGCAATGAGAGAAAAGTAACTGAGACACAAGTCAGTGACAAGGCTCCCATAACCATTCACCTTCCAAAAGCCCTCTCTCTGAGCATACGAGGCTTTGGGGGATATCACCCAGATCACTGATCCCCACATCTGACCTGGGCCACATTATCCCCAGCTTCCTTGGGGACTGCGGTTGGTTCGGTCTAGTATAGGGGTTGGAAAACTACAGGGCAAAATTCAGCCCTCACGGTACTTTTGTAAATAAAGTTTTATTGGCACACGGCCCTGCCAATCACCTACACATCCTCTGCATCTACTGTCCTGCTGTGACACGGAGCTGGTTGTGACAGAGTTTTCATCTGTCTCTTCATAGAAAAAGGTTGCAGATTTCTGCTCTTGACCTCTGGACCTCTCACCTTAGTAACTGGCTTACAGGCACACAACCCATGTCACATGACCCATGTTAGCCAATCGGGAATCAGTTCTGGTGTCCCTACTTCTGGGCTCCGTGTTGTAACCATGAGGGTCTAAAGGTGGGGCAGGGGCTGCTATATACACCTGAGAACAAAACCAGCCTAGAGAAAGGGTGGATGAGAGGAGGGTCCTAGTGATGTTGTTGGAGCCTGGATCCAGCCACACCTGAAGTCATATATCTTGGGACTTTTCAGCTTCTGTAAGATGAGGTGTTCTCTTTTTGTTCAGGTTGCTGAGATCAGTGTGGTGACACTGGATTTCCTGGCTCTTCAGCACCTTCTGAGTGCCCTTCCTTGTTTTTCAGAAACACACTTTCCATCCTCTCTATGGCCATGACAGGGCCAGGTGACCTAGGACCGGCTCGGACACCGCATGACCGAGACTCACGTGAGCCAGAGTGGGGCTGCAGCTCTGCCTGGTGGTGGGGACAGCAGGGATCCCATGTGGAGCGGCTCCATCATGCACTGTGGTGGCTTCTCTGCTGTGAGTGGGGAGCCCTGTCGCAGGGCCCGGTGGACACATCTGGTGAGGGTTTCCTCGGTCACACTCCCAGCCACAGGGCTCTTTCCGTTTCAGAGGTTGCTGAGATCAGTGTGGTGACACTGGATTTCCTGGCTCTTCAGCACCTTCTGAGTGCCCTTCCTTGTTTTTCAGAAACACACTTTCCATCCTCTCTATGGCCATGACAGGGCCAGGTGACCTAGGACCGGCTCGGACACCGCATGACCGAGACTCACGTGAGCCAGAGTGGGGCTGCAGCTCTGCCTGGTGGTGGGGACAGCAGGGATCCCATGTGGAGCGGCTCCATCATGCACTGTGGTGGCTTCTCTGCTGTGAGTGGGGAGCCCTGTCGCAGGGCCCGGTGGACACATCTGGTGAGGGTTTCCTCGGTCACACTCCCAGCCACAGGGCTCTTTCCGTTTTTTAGATTTTGGGGTAGGGAGAGAGGGAGAGCCTCTCCTGATGGACAGGAAGACGGTGCCTGGGGAGAACAGCCCCTTGGATGTGGCCTCTCTGTGTCCCCTGCTCAGCTCCCCGAGGGGCGTCCTCATGACCAGGGGTCAGGTGGGGACCTGCACACAGGATGGAGGAGACCTGCTCGCTGTTCCCATGAGGATGGGGTGCCAGGCTATGCCCCGGGAGGCATGAGCTGTGGTGGGCGCAGGCTCGGAGAGCACATGGCGCCCACGGCCCCACAGCTTGGACCCTCTCACCCTCCCTGTGCCAGCCCACCTGCCCTGGGCTGTGCAGTGCGGCTGGGACTTCCCCACCTGTAGGCCTCTCACCTGCACCCCTGGCGAGTGACCAGGGCAGGCTTCCAACCCACAGTCACCTCCCTGAGTCTGCAGTCTGAGCCTCCACTTTGGCAGCCCTGGGTGCAAGCACTGCTCCAGGCCCACTCAGACCTCATGCCTGCAGGCACAGAGAGGTCAGGCAACCTCTCAAGTCACAGCCTATGCGGCACAGCTGGGACCTGGACTGGGCCTGCCCACGCTCCTCACACCTTCCCTGTGTGCTGCTGGGCAGCGAGGGTCCTTTGAGGGACCAGCCTTGCTCTGTCTTGGCAGGGCGGGCACCTCCTGAGCATCCCCATCCTTGCGGCCATAGCCTTGCGGGGCCCGGCAGCGCTGCGCCCAGACAGCTCCGGGAGGCTGAGGCGGGTGCAGGCATGGTGGGCAGTGCCCCAGGTGGCAGGGATGTCCAGGCTGCACGCCTCACTGTGGTGACATCTGTGGGTCGCTGGAGCCCGGTGTTCTGAAATGGCGCCTGTCTGAGTTAGTGACGTCTGAGCTCCCCATTCCCGCTCGCTGGAGCAGGGCTCCTTCCTGGGCTCCATCTCTTGCCAGCGGAGCCCTGGCTGACAGCTCGCCCTGCTTTCCCACTGTGCTTTTCCCCAGAGGAGTCTGTGTGTCCCAGAAGGCTTATGTGGGCAGAAGCACAGCTTCCAGGCACCGTGACCTTTGTTACTGCCCGGCCCCCTGGAGCTGTCCAGCTGTCCACCAAGGCCTTAGTCGCCCCGTGCGTGTGGCCTCTAAGGACCACCAGTCGCTAGCCTCTAGCCTGCACTGTGGGGTGGCTGGCAGGGGAGCCCCTCTCCGCTGGTCCTCGCAGCCAGTGGGAACTCAGGACTGTCCCTTTGCTTTGGGGACTCCTGTCCGGCGGTGTGGCCAGGCTGCCCACTTCCCATCTGCGTTCGCTTCTGTCAATTGGAAAACTTGCTGATGAGGTGCTTTAAAGTTTAGTTTCCGTCTGGTAAGAGGAGGACGTTGGGTTCTGCACCCAGGAGTGGGTATGGCCATGCCTGTGGCTCCAATCACCAGACCCTCCTCCGCCTCCCTTTGGTCCACAGAGCCTCAGGGCCACCCTGCCTGAGCCTGCGGTGCTGTGCCCGGCACTGCTGAGCACGCACAGCCCTTGAAGCGGCTTGGGCCGAGCATCAAGGGAAAGTGCCCAGATGTGGTTAAAAGGAACTCTCAGGTTGGTTCCGTGGGCGAACCTCTACTGCGGTCGGCTCATTCTGCCAGGGGGCAGAATGGCGCTGCCATCTTTCTCCGTTATTAGCAGTATAGCAGTGACCATGCTGCTGTTACTGGTGCCTCACAGAGTGTGTGCGAGCCAGGTAGCTGCCAGGGGACTGGAATTGGTAGGAACAGTGCGGAAACTGAGGCACAGAAGGCCCTGGACTTGCTAGGTCAGCAGCCCGTCATGGGGGCCCAGCTTTGGGGCTGGAGACTCTGCCTCCAGTGCTCCCCCCGAGCTTTGCCCCGTCTCCCCAGTGCGGCTCAAGCACGGGAGGAGCTGGGGGTCCAAGGGGCGCGCACAGAGCACCATGGCCGGGGACACAGTTCCTGGGCTTGCCGCTCTTGGAGTTGGTTCCCTGAGCTCCTGCCTTTCTGCTGGCTCTGCTTCCTGGCAGGGTGTGGGTCTCAGTGCCCTTGGAGTGGTCCCCAGGCGTGGACCCTGGCCTGGTGGGAGGGGCAGCAGCTGATGTTGGCCTGCGGCCAGCACCTCGGTGCTCAGAATGGCTGCTCCAGTTGGTCACCTGTGGCCGAGGTTGCAGTGTGTGCCTGAGCACAATTAAGGGCAGCGAGTCCACTCCCGCATTACAGTGCCACATTCTTAGTCTCAGGAACTCATGCTGAATTGGAAGTCTCTCTTCCAGGTTTGTGCATGTAATTGAAGAGCTGGGGCGGGGGCGTTCACCTTCAGGAAGAGCGGGTCAGGGCAGCCTTGGCAGACACTGCCTGGCCAGCCCAGCCAGGCCCAGGGAGGCTGCCAAGGCATGGACTGTGTGACCGCAGCCAGCCTGGTCGCTTTGGAGGACCACACTGTACCTGTGCTCTCTGGGGTCCTGGACATTTCCAGAAGAATCTGAAAATCTTGGAGACTACAGAGGCACAGGTCCCCAGGATCCTGCATTCAGTGGACCCCTGCCTGTGGCAGGACCGTTTTGCCCCTCATGAATGAGCTGTGTAAGCACTGTGTGCTGTGGGGTGGATAAGTGTCCCCCAAACCTCGTGGGTTGAAGGCTTGGTCCCAGCCCAGATGCTACCCAAAGGTGGGGCCTTTAGGAGGTGGGGCCTAGGGAGGAAGTGAGGTCACAGGGGCGTGGCCTCAGAGGTCTGTGGGCAAGCAGGATGTGAGCCTTGTCCTCTGTCACATGCTCCCTTATGGCCTGGCCACGGTACAGCATAGGGCCAGCCCACCATGCCCTCGAGCCACAATAAGCCTTTCCTCCTCATAGCTGGATTCTCCCAATGTTTTGTTACAGTGAAGGGGAGGGACACCATGACAGCACCAGCAGACGAGCTGGACACCTTGGGCTGGGCATTGTCCTCATGCCTGTGGTCCCTCATCCCACTGGGAGGTGACTTGTGGGGGGCCAGGATGACCTCACCACCTCCTTTTAAGCATTTATCCCAGTTTTATCCACGCCTTGGAATGGCAAAAAGGTCATTCAGCACAAACAGCAAGAATGAAACGGCTCATCTCGCGCAAGCTTAAGTGGCAGCAGTGCACACCCACCTGTGCCCACCCCTTTTCCTGTCTGTGCACATGGGGCCTGGGAGGCTTTGGGGCTGCTCAGACCCCTCCCCTGGTAAAGGCTAAACTGGGGCTGGGTGCCAGGTCGGTGATGCCCAGGACGAGGGCTGCAGAACAGCCTGCAGTGTGGGGTGTCCCTTCCTGTAGACTGGGGGGCTTGCCCATATGGAGAAAAGTTAGATGCAAGTGCAAAGTGGGGCCGATAGGCTGAGCTTGGGTGGAATGGCCAGGAGCCAAGGCCACTCAACTAGGAGAGACCAAGAGGGGCCAGGCTTCGTGGGCCCAGGACTGCACTGGTGTGAAGGACAGTGCTGAGAGGCCAGCTCGGGTGACATCTCCAGGGCTGCTCCGTGCTGGTGGGATGTGTCCTCCAGGGGCCTGGGGTGGAGCAGGAGACCCCTGCACGTGGTCTGAAGGTTGTGTCCCACCCTGGAAGGGTGCTGATGGCAGGGCGGACCCCGGACATCCAGGGCTGCCCCTCGGTGGGCAGTGGAGCCGAGATTTACTGTTAATTAACTGTTAAGAGCAGGACCTGAATCGCTCAGCCTCTGCGTCTGTTTAGCTTCTGCTGATTGGTCTTGATTAAGCTCGATAAAAATAGTCCACTGTCTGTGGCAGTGTGGCCAGCTTGCCCCTCCCACACCTGCTTTGAGGAGGACCTGCCAAGGGCCTCCTGGAACCAGGTATTAATGAGGGCTCCCTGATGGCTACATAGGTCTTGTCGCGGAAGGCAAGGGCTCTCCATTTGTGGGGACCAGGACCCCGGTGTCCCAGGGAACCAGGACTCTCCACTTCTTGTTCCCTGCTGCACGAAGGTAGGCATTCTCCTTTGGCGGTGCCCCATGCCATAGTCTTGGGTCAAATGCAAAGCGCTTAGCGTCAGGGAGAGTCCCGGCTCCTGTTCCCAGAGGTGCGTGCAGGCTTGGGACATCCTGCAGGTGGCTCCGATGTCCCAGCAGGAGGAGGGGCAGAGCCTCGTCCCAGTTCTGTTCCTCTCACCCTCACTGACCCATGGGCCAGTCCAGGGCATGCACAGGGACCCAGATCTGCACGAGGGAAGACAAGCTCAGACCGGGGGGCCCTCCTAGCCGCGCCGGACCACGTGCCGGTCCACCAGTGGAGCCACCCTTCTGCTGAGCTCAGGACGGTGAGGCCTGGGTGCTGAGGACCACACCTGGTGCTTTTCTGCTCTGAGCCTCGATGTATGTGGTGACCACAGCTGCAGACGAGGGCGGAGGCAGGGAGGGGGCAAGCAACCTGTGCGCTGCATCCCGAGCAGGCGGGGATAACGGGAGCCGCTTATACGGGTCCTGGCGAGTCAGGCTTCAGGTGGCCTTCTTGGACCTACACACTGGGATTTACCCAGGAGCCTCTGTGGCCTCTGCATCCCTGCAGGCCAAGGTCTTTGGGGTCTCCTGCCAGCCCCTGTCACCTGTGGTGCTTCTGTCCCATGGACCTGCTTCTCCAATACTCTGGCTGCCATGGTGCATCCTCCCTGCTACTGGGGACAAGACCAAAGCTGGTGTGGCCATGGCTTCCTTCTGCCTCATTTTCTGCCGGGATCCGGAGCCCTGAGGCTGTTTCCTGGGGAGGTGGGGGTCCCTGCTGCACTTGAATAACCAGCTCCCAGCAGGCTGTGCTGAGACTGGGGGCATCTGACACTTGGAGCAAAAGTGGCCCTGGCACCATCAGAGCACTCGGGTCGCCCTGGGCTGGGGAGCCCATCTGCACCTGGCTTAGGACTGAGATGAGTGTGGGCAAACTCCCAGCCCCATGTGCCCAGCCCAGGCCAGAGCTCCCTGATTGTTACAGGAGGCAGCAGCAGCGCTGGGAGCGGAGGTGGAGGAAGACAGCCTGACTGCCAGCCAGAGGGCGTCTCTGTGCCGACAGGTCCAGGACCATGGTCCTGGCCTTTCCTGCCTTTGCCCACTGCAAGGAGAGCAGACTGGTTCCAGGGGGCGGGGCCCCACCCCAGGATCCCGACGCCTCCCTAGCAGCAGTGGCAGTACACACTCCTGGCTGCCTTTGTTGCCAGGAGCGCTCAGGACTCCTGTTCCCTCCCAGCTGCCTAGGCTGCAGGGGATTGGACCCGTCCCCCTCCTCGGTCATCTGCTGCCTGTCCACTAGATGGCACTGTGTGTCCCGTCACCATGCCAGTGACGTGAGGACGCTGCAGGGAGCTCTGTCCAGGGACTCTGGCCTTCCAGACACCTTCACAAGCCCTCTGGGAAGGAGCAGCCTCCTCCTTCCATCCCCTCTTGGTGGCACAGCTGCTGGGGTCCAGTCCATGACCCTTGTAGGCTTGATTGGAGGCCCAGGCCGGCACAGGGGAGCTGGGAGGGGCTGGCAGATGCACTGTGTCACTGTGACTGGCATGGATGCACACCCGCTTCACCAGGCCCTGGCGGGGGAGGTCAATGCAGGAGAGTGGGCTGTGGGAGTGGGGCCCTTTCTGACCCTGCCCTGTGCATGCCCTGGCCTGGCATCTGATTCCGCCTGCCTGGAGGGTACCCTGGCTGGGCTATGCCCGCTTAGTAAACAATAGTGCCCATGCGTGGACCTGGGGAGTCCTGTGGGGGCCGCTGGCAAGCAGGGACATGGCAGAGCCTGGAGCCCAGCAGGTACAAGGTGGGTCATCAGATGCCTGCTGGGCTCTGAATGACCCCGCAGATCTCATGGGGAGGGACCTCCTTGGGGCCTGACTGGCGCCTTGGACTCAGGAAATGAGTGCCGCATGACTGGCGGAGCCATCTTTGTGGGGGCAAGGCATAGCCCCTGTGAACTGGGGGAGTGGACGCATGCATGTTCTCTGAGGCTGACACTGGCCTCTGGCCCTTGGGGATCAAGGCAGAAAGGGCCCCCACAGGTGGGGAGGCACCCGGCCCCAGCCATGCTCGCTGCAGAAACCCAGCCGCCTTTGCCCTCCTCGACCTGCCCAGCCCCTCCCTCAGACGCAGCCGCAGTGCGCGGAGTGCGGCTCACCGTGCTCGCGGTGAACTCTGGCGGGTTGTCGTTCACGTCAGTCACGGCGATGATGGCTGTGGCTGTGTTCGAGAGGCCGTAGTTGAGGTTCCCCTCCATGTCTGTGGCCTGGACGATGACTGTGTACTGCTGGACTTTCTGGAGGAGACACACGGGGACAGCAGGTCAGCTGGGTGTGTCCCCCAGTGGGTTCCTGGCATGGACCTCCCCTCCCCCCCTGAGGGTGGGGGTGCAGAGGCCGACTGTCTCCATCCCAGGGGCCTCGGACGGGCCGAGGTTGGAAGGGTGCAGGGCAGGCAGCACCAGCTCTGCCCTGGCCCGGAGGAGCAGAGTGAGACGCAGGCCGCAGCCAGCGCGGGGCTGAGTCAGGATTCACAGAGCAGAAAGGTCCTCTCCCTGTGCTGTGTAGCCGCCGAGACACAGCGGCTTCTGGCCTAGTCAGCGTCCAGCACGGGTGTGAGCTTGGAAGGCAGATACAGTGTGCGGGGCAAGTCCATTGTACCGGAGGAGCCGTCACGCACTTCCCCGCCTGGCTGGTCCTCACCAGTGTGGGAGCACCTCAGAGCCCGGGGCAGAAAGGGACTCTCCACTGCTCCTCTCAGAGGTTAGGGGAAAGACCAGCTCCTGGCCCTGTGGCTCAGTGAAATGTGCTCAGTCCCATACACCGGCTCCAGAAGAAAATGCACAGAGTGAATGGGCCACAGATTCTGCCTTCCCACGCGTCCATCTGACCACGCACTTCCTGCCTGTCACTTCTGCATCCTGATGGGCTCAGGGCTTCTGAGAGGCAGCAGGGGCCTCACCTTGGACACTTTCATTTCCACCCATTTCTCTTGTTCTTTAGAAATCTGATTTTCTTCTTCCCAGAGCAGTTTGGAGAGTTACACTTCAGGGACTCTGCACATCATTCTGAAATTAGGCAGGACAGCCCCGGGCACTGCCCAGGTCGGAAGCCACCCCGAGGGTGTCCTTGTGTAGCAGCCGTGGGCGCAGACTGCTCTGTCCACGTGGCTGCCAGCCTTGCCACAGGAGGCCAGTCCTGCAGATTCAAGGATGACACAGCTGGGTCAAGGGCATGGCCAGAGAGGAGGTGGCCCCTGGAGAGAGGGCCTTGGTCTCGCTAAGTAGGCCCTGCCGTCTGTGGAAGCCATCTGGCAACTGTGCTCAACAGGTACCCGAAGAGGGAGCTTTATTTTTTGATTGCACTTGGGAGGCAGGCAGCAGCACCACTGAGCTAAACCCCAGCCCTTGGAAGAGGGTGCTTTAGAAACAGGGAAGCATAGATGTGCTTGTGCATGTGGGCATGGTGTGCACGAACACACGAGGTGTGGCATTTGTGAGCACACACATGTGCATGTGTGGATGCACGTGTATGTGCGCAGGCGTGTACTTCTGTATGGCTGTGCCAAGTGCGTGTCCCCCGGCACGCTGGGCTCTGTATGCATATGCTGGTGTGCTTGGCCTGTCCATGCAGCCAGTGGCCGCTAGAGGGCAAGCGCAGCCTGTGTTTGGGAGGCAGGACAGGGTGTTCCCCGCCCGGATGGGGGAGGGAAACAGTGCCGCAGGAAGGGAGAAATCCTGGTGGGGACCCCACAGGACGCCAGTGCTCCCACCTGGGGCTCCGGGCAGTGGGCAGGGGCAGCCTAGGCCCAGGTTCAGTGGTGTTTTCAAAGCACGGGTGGGCACGCTTCTGTGAGCTGGAGTGAGTGCTTTAGTCCCGGTCACTGGTGTGTCAGGGCTGGGGGGCGGTGGGCAGCGCCTAGGCAGGGGCCATCCGCTGTCCCTGGGTGTGCGGTCTGTGGGTCTGCATGCGTGAGCTGCTGCTGCAGGCCTGTGCTTCCAGTCCTAACCTGTGTTTGCCCCACATTGAAGTGGGTGGGGTGGCACCTGGTTCTCGGGGTGCTCTGGCCTCCTGCTCCCAGAGATGAGCTGGCCCTGTGCTGCCCGATGGTAGAGGTGCCCTAGCATGGCCTGGGTGCGCCCTGGAGTCCAGCACCTTCTCCTGGGCCTTGTGGGGCTGGCTGCCTATGGTTGGCCTCGCAGTGGGGAGGGCAGGGTCACCACCACACACCCACGGAAGCCGGGGAGCTTCCTGCGGCCCTCCCAGCCTGCTGCCCTGTGGTGCCCTCCTGGCTGCCATCGGGCACAGAACGGGGCAGAGGCCAGTGTCAGCAGCAGAGCAGCAGTGGATTCATTAAAAACAGATTTGGCCATGTTCAAGTCTGAAAGCAGGGAAGAAAACCAGGAGCAGTTGTCCCCAAGGTGCAGCTCACCTCCCTGCAGCTGGGTGTGCAAATTCCACAGAATTTCCATCAATAATGCAGCATGGCCGCCCTGGAAGGATCCAAGCTCTGACTGTCTTCCCACACCCAGCCTGGGTGCAGGAGCTGTGGCCACCTCGCTCCCAGGTCAGCAGGTCTGAGGCTGGCAGCAAGGCTTCCTGTGGGGCCTGCATAAGGACCCCAGGGGTCCCCTCCCTCCACTGCAGCCTGAGCCCCTCCAGGGAAGCTGCGCCCCAGCCTAGCCATCTACGGCCCCGTGTCCTGCGTGGGGAGAGGCACTGCCCGGTGCACACCCACATAGTCCAGGGGGTCAGCGGAGCACATGGGCAACCTCTCACACTGATTTCTGGGCTTCCTCTCTGGGGCTGCGGTGGGGCCTGCAACTCCCCACAGGGTACCCAACTGACCATGGACCAGAGCCTCGATGCTGAGAGGCTGACTGAGCTCAGGGCCTTGGCCAGGGCAGAGCTGGGGAGGTGGCCCCTGCCTGGGACGTGCTGTGGCCCTCTATACATTGCTGCCTGCTGGCCCTGCCCTGGAGGGCTGGCAGGTTTGGATGGAGTGGGCAGAGAGCACCAGCATGGGAAAGGCCGGTGCTCCCAGCTGAGTGGTGGACCCCATCCTGACATCCCAGAGGCCACCCCAGGACTCTGAGGGCCCTGCCCAAACTGACTGGCTCCCCAGGGCTCCTCTGCAGCCCAGGCTGGGAGGGCACCATCGTAGTGAGCAGACCAGTGCCTCCCCCTCTGCAGGACACTGCACGGCCAGGGCTGGTGCTCCAGGAGGATGCAGGGATCGGGACGGCAGGAAGGACAGGGTGAGGGGGAGCCGCCGGCCATGACGCCCCAACAGGTGTGCGATTAGGGCGAGAGTGCTGCGCTCTGGGGTTTGCTGGGTGGTACTGGGAATGGCCTTGGCAGTTCCGATCTGGAGTGGAGCAGTGAGGAATTGAGGAAGAGCTGGTGTGGCCAGGGCCTCAGTCTGGAGAGGGCAGTTAGGAGAATGCTTTCTCTCGGCCTCCCTCTACCCACGCTGACACCTCTGCAGGCGAGGGAGATGGCAGCTGGGAAGCCCAGGACGTCCAAAGACTCAGGCAGATGTCCCTGTGTGCCAGGGCCAAGGATGCATCACACATTTCTGGACATCTTGGGCTGTTTCTGGACAGCTCTGGCAGTGACTGGGTATTTTCTTCTGGACTCGTCTGAGCAGTTCTGAATGTTTCTGGAGGGGTGTGGACACATCTGGAGGTGCTGGAATATATCCGTGTGCTGGGAAGTGCTGGACATTTCCGGGTGCACACAGATGTCCCTGGCCCCGCGGTGGCTCCCTTACAGCTCGCACCCTGGCGCTTCAATGCCTCTGTGTGCACTTTCTGCTCCCATCCGAGAGGTTTCCATGGAACCTCAGTGACTAACACTCACTCCTGAAAGGTGGCCGGAGAGGAGCCCAGCTGCTTTTCTTCAAACCTCTGCACCTTTTCCGGAAGAGCAGAACCTCAACATCTGAGGCTCCAGCAGCAGTTGCCAACACCACACACCAAGGGGCATCGTGCATCCCCGATGGGGCGCCACACACCAGTGTCTCTGAGACCAGGGTCCTTCCTCGGGGCCTCAGGGCATGGATCCTGGCCCCACCAGTGCCCTGTCTGCCCATCCCTGGAAAACGTGTGTGCACCAGTGTGCAACACTCAGGCACATGTGCACACACACCCACGTGTGTATCATCTGCCTTTGGTCCTGGAGGGATCTGGTCACCCGTTCCTTGCTTGGAGGTGGGATGGCAGAGGGAGGGCAGGAAGGGGTGGCTGGAGTCCTTCCCCACTCTAAGACACTTGGGGCTCACGTTTACCAGCCACAAATCGGGGTGCATCTTATAACTGCCACCCTCCTGTGCTGGTCACTGCCAGAGGTTGATTAGTAGGTGGCCACTACCCACACACATGGCTGTGGCCAGGCATGGGACTCACCAGCTGTGTCCCCTGATGGTCCCCAGTCAGCAAGGGCCTGGGCTGGACCTGCAGGTGTGGACTTCATGGAATGTGTGAGACTCACATCCAGTTTGCTAAGATGTGGGCACCTGATCGAGCCAGCAAGAGCTCTTTCAATAGGAGTGAGGTGGAAGCCAGGTGTGGTGGCATATGTCTGCCACCCTGGTGACTCAGGAGGCTGAGGCAGGAGGATTTCGAGTTTGAGCCCAGCCTGGGCAACTCTACAAGACTGTCTCAAAAAAAAAAAAAAATAGGGCTGGGGATGCTGCTCAGTGAGAAGGTACTGGGTTAATCCCCAGTGCTTCAAAGAAAAAGAAAAAAAGGAAGAAAGAGGGAAACCTAGAGTGCCTTGGCACTGCCTCATGGGTTGGCTGGTGACTTTCCTAGCTATATACAAAGCTGCGTCTCTCACTGTGACCAGCGGTGCTCTGGTGAGGCCCACGCTACCCTCGTGACCTGCCCCCTCGGCCTCATTGCCTCCTCCTCCTCCTCTTCCTGGGCCTCGGACCCCTTCTGCCTTTCTTGCCCTGCCCCGTGGCTGTCCCCAGCCTGTATCCAGCTCTTGCCAGGACTTGGGCTGTGGACAGGAGCTCCCCGAACCCAGACCTCTCCACACTGAACCCTTCACTTCTGCAAAGCCAGGAGAGGGTCCCAGGCTCCCTGGCATCGGCTGTGGCCAAGGGCGGGAGTCAGACCCACTGCGACCCTCGCCAGGATGAGGCCGCTGGCGGTAGGGAGGTCTCACTGCTCTGCAGCACCTCCAAGGCCTGCTGGGCACTTCTGTGGGTGCGGCCGGGCTGTGGGCAGGGTGGCTCCTGGGCTCCGCCTCCTGTCCACCTGCAGGTGCCATGTCTGAGTGCAGGTGACAGAGGAAGACTGCTGCTGGCCCCACAGGTTTGGCAGTGCAAGGGAGCTGCAGTTTCGGGGGCCCTGCCTCAGCTTCCTCACCATCCGGGCCCTGGCCAGAAGCCTGGTTCCTGTGGGGCCGTCTCCCCAGGGAGCCGCAGCTGGGTGAGTGTGAGAAACAGTGCAGACACACCTGGCCGGCCTCAGTAGTGCTGCCCGGACTGCTGGCCTTCCCTTCACTCACCATCCCTGCCCAGGGAGGCCGCCCAGCGCCTGGTCCCGTCAGTCACGCTGTACCACATGCCCAGCGGCAGCTCGCCTGGGCTGGAGGTGACGCTTATGGTCAGTGCCCGCCCTCGCGGTCTCCCTATGTGTCCCCAAGAGACCTCTGGACAGACTGCGGTGCCCATGTGCTGCTGCCCTGTGTGTGACGCAGGTCACGTCCCGTGGGAGCACAGAGGCCTCAAGTCCTGGGCGGTGACTCCAAGGCAGCGAGTGGACCGGCCCGAGTGGGGGCTTCCTGTGCACTAACCCACGCGTCCTATGTCCTGTTCGGCCTTGACCCTCGGAATGTCCGTGGCTTGGGCTGAGGGCATTTGTTATTTATTGGCCGCAGCTGAGTTGGCGATGACAGCAGGGCCCCAGGAGAGCCTGTAAAATAGGCAGGCAGATCCCAGCGGGCATCGCCAGTGACCGCAGGTGTCCTTCTGGCTCCATGTCAGTGACGCTGTTGGAGGCCAGGGCTCTCCCAGAGCTGCGCGAGGACAGAGGGGCACAGTGCCGTCTGCCTTCACCTTTAGATACGTGATGAGGGACTGGCGTTCCTGTCCTCGTGCATCCTGTGTTCTAGCCGTAAACGTAGTCTTTGTGATAAGAAAAACATCAGTAGGTGTTACTGCAGAGAAGGGCGCGGAGGGCTGCAGCATCGGCACTGGCCTCGGAGCAGCTGGAGATACGGCTGGGTTGTGTGGGGGGAGTGGGGCAGCTCTGCAGCCCGGGTACGCACCACGGATGCCACGCACCGCTCCCCGGACTCAGGTGTCCATGGGCAGCAAAGCCACGGGCCTATCAGTGTCAGCGTCAGCTCCTCTGCTTGGTCCATTTCCTTCTGTCTGTCTGTCTTTCTTGTGCCTCTGCCTCTCTGGAGGGGGGATCCACAGGTCTTCAGGGTGGAAACCCAGTCTGAGGTGGGCCGGGGCTGAGTTTGTCCCAGCTGCTAATGAGACCAGGAAGCCATGGTCAGTGTCTTCGAGATAGTTTCGTGACAATGACTCAAAATCACCACCAGGGGGTGCCAGTCTGTCTCCTCAGGACCTGAGCAGACCCATTTCCAGCGCCCGGTGAGCCGGCCGGCCAGCCACACTGCTTCTCACACACTGGAGGCAGTGCTAGTCTTGAGACCCGGGCATTTCTTCCTTTTGTGCTGTGGGTGTAGTAAGCAGAGTCGGCAGAGGTGGTACCGACCTCCACCGCAGCGGGTGAGTCTCGGAAACACGCAGGAAGGGCTTGGTTTCACCTCCTGAGATCTCAGACCACAGGGAGAGGGGCGTGGCCTGTGCTGGTGGGTGAGATCAGGAGCCGGAGCCAGGTGTGCGCTAACACTATCACCTTCCGATCCGGCCTCGAGGGTGTCACTCCTTATTAGGCCATAAATATTCTAATTAGGAAACATCGCAAGATGAATAGGATTAGCAAGTGGGGCAGCCCTCACCACACACGAGAGGCTCTTGAACTGTGCGTGTCTATCCAAGTCCCTCCTGACATTTAATCAGGTAGAAAAGCTCGATTTACATAGCTCTGCTCATTAGACGCGGTGGCAGTCATGCAGGAAGCGGTGCTGGGGGACGTGGCCGCGGCAGGGTCCCCAAGACTGCCTGTTGCACTGGGGCAGGGGCATAAATGTCTTTCGGAGGAAAACGAGACCTGTGCCCTCTCTTTCCAGACAGCTGTGTCAGTGTCCAGCCAGAGCGGCCTGGCGGGCCCGGATGTGGCTCTGCTTGGGGACCCCACCTGGCAGGACAAGGCCTGGCTCAGATGGAAGTTGGCTTCTGGGTTCAGTGGCCCTGAGCCCCTAATCCCTCAGGCCTGGCTGGCCGGGGCCCAAATGCCCAGAAGGTGTAACGATACCGCTGTGGTTTTATTGTTTGCCACCAAGTTTCCCAAGCCTGGGTGCCCATCTGGGCTGTGCTCCTGCTCCGGGCCGTTACTCAGATTTCCCAGGAGCCAGGGGAAGAAGAGGAAGGCGGCGTGGTTGTGCTTCCAGTCCAAGCTGGGGTGAGAGGCGCCCGCCTCCCTTCCAAAAACTCCTCCCCTCCATCACCGACCCTGTGGCCCCACCGCCCCCAGGGCCAGGGCCAGGGCCTGGCGTGTCCTCAGCCAGGGTCGCAGGGTGGCCTCCCCTCCCCCCTCCCGGCCCCGCTCGGCGACAACTGCTGGAAGTTCCCATCTCACAGCGGAGATGACACAGGGCGGCCGGAGAACGGGGCGCACCCTTGGGCGCTGGCACCCGGGCCTTCACGGGCTCAGGACCTGGCCCTGCGCTGGAGGAGGGCGACCCAGAAGCCGTCTGCTCCCTTGCCTGCCCCGCCCTGGTCTCTCCTGGTGCCCTGTCCACGGTTCACAGGGTTGGTTTCCTCACTTTTCCTCCCCACCAGGAGGAAGCCTCCAAGGTGGCTTGGATCTGCCTGTTCAGGGTTAGCAGCGCGCACAGTAGGTGCTCAGTAAACTCTTGAAGTGTCACTCCCTCTCCCTCTGCTGAGCTGAGCCCCTTGGCACGCCCCACCCTGGGCCTGACCATAGCAGGGGAGAGGTGTCCTGCGCGGTCAGCTGTGGTCATACTTGGCTTTCTCAGTTTCTTCTTGGGGTTCAGCTCCTGCTGCTCAAGGGGGTCAGAACACTGTCCTCGGGCATGGTCTATGTGTCCATGTGACTCTCCTCTTCAGCCCCCACCTCGTGACACCCCGAGTGCACCCTACTGTGTCACAGCCTCGTTAGGGTCACAACAGCCCCTCTGCCTTCTGGGAGTCTGAGGAAGGCTGGGTCCCCCCACCCCAAGTCCACGGTTGCACAGTGCACCCCAGGAGTCAGCAGGGCCCCGCTCTGAAGCCCTCTGTCCCCCAGCAGTGGTGCTGCGCTGGGTCCTGGGCGTCTCATCCATGCACCTCAGTCTGTCTCATGGGCCAGGGACAGAAACAGGGAGGGAATGAGTCTCCCTGGCCTGAACATTAGCGTCACTGTCATCAGGGATGGCAGGAAGAAGGAGACCCAGAGCCCCCAGAGGAGGGCAGAGGTGTGGCTCTGGCTCCTCAGAGATGCCCTGGCCAGTGGTCCACTCCCATGAGGCCGCTTAGCCCCTGCAGAAGTGCAGGTGAGGTCCCTCGATGACCATAAACCCTCTCTGCCAGCCACCCCTCAAGTGGCTTTTCAGTGGACATTTGGGGAAGATTTCACAGGCCACGAGCGAACCCTGGGACATACAGCAGGCAGGAAGGGCAGGTGGCTTTGAGCTGGGGAGCAGGGCTAGCCCAGCCTCCCCTTGGCTCCAGGCCAGGCCACCTCACTGGGCCCGGCCGGTGTGCAGGAGGTCACGGTGGGAGCCACGACCTGCCCACGGGACACCTGCCAAACGTGCGTGTGAGGGCCGAGGGGTTTCCCTCTGTGTGGGCAGGGGCAGAGGAGGACACCAAGGGCCCTGTGGGCTCTGTGTAGGTCGTGCTCCCTGCCTTCGTCTGATGCCCGGACCCTGCACCCCCACTCCATTTTAGGGGGCCTTACAATAGTTGCAGCTCTGATGGAGAATCTACAGATACAGCTTTTGTATTTTCTTGGCTGGAAAAAATTCAATACTTTTCTATAAAATATAAATGAACATACCCCAACCCTCCCAGAATCCTGCCTCATGCCTGGCGCCTGGACACAGATCACAGGATTACTTCTGGCCAGGGCCACACCCTGCTGTCCTCTGCCAGAGCAGGGGGCCCAGGTCACGGGCATGCATGGGTCTGGGCCCCATCTGGTCACTCACCACAGAACCTAGGGAGTCCCCTGCGGGGTCAGTCTGCCAGTCTGTCGAGTGGGAAGGGGCTAGCTTGGGTTCTACGAACTCCAAGACTGTGATCGACATCCTGTACCTGAGGACCTGAGGTGGGAGCCCCCCAAACCCCTCCTGAGAGCACTGGTCAACCTTGCAGGGTCCCCACTTTTGCTTTTGGCTCTGCTCTGATAAAGTGCACATGTGCCTCTGGCCTGTGGGCACCCCGACAACCCGCACAGGTGCCTGCTGCTCACCACTGTGCCCCCCACCCAAGCCTCAGATGGAGGTGGGCAGCCCCTGGGCCTGGCTCGGTGCCTCTGTCCACACGGCTCTGACCCAGGGAAGTGGCAGGCAGGACGCAGCAGGAGTCCTGGGCCCACCTTGCTTCCCAGCTGCCTGTGGAGAGGGGCAGGCTTCTGTCTTTCCGCCCAAATCCCTGCATCGCTCAGGTCGCAGGGCCCCTGCCCCCACCTGGGGGTGGCCCTGCCCAGCCTCCCCCCGCGTCCCGTGTCCTCCTCCACCTCTGCATTCCCTCTGCACACCCGGAGCAGACAGCGCCCAGGCCGGGCAGCCCACAGACCCCCACAGACCTCCTTCCTGCAGAGCCACCTGGAAGGCGGGGTCCCGGCCCGTTGCTTCCCCAAGACGGCGAGGGCTGCAGCTGTGCCACCTGAACCGCAGGCTGAGTGCCCATGGGCACACCCTGGCCACGCCACGCCCTGGGATACCTGTTGCTCATGGCTGGTCGGGCAGCGAAAGTCCGCGTGCCCCATCTGTGCTGGCCCTTGCTCCTCCCGCCACATGATGCAGGCCTCGTCCCACTTTCTTCTGGCCCTTCCTGAGGAAGCGCAGTGCGCTGGGGCGTGAGGTGCTCCTGGGCCTGCGTGCGACCCCTCCGGGGAGGAGGGCGCGGTTCAGCTGTCCTGCACCATGCCTACCTCGGGTCTGCGCTGCCATGCAGGGACCTCCCAAGCCTCACCCGCGCACAGCCCTTTGTAGTTACTTCCTCTCTTCCCGGGCAGAGGCCACGGCAGCTCTGTGTAGGTTCAGAAGGCAGAGGAGCCTGCAGAGCCCAGGAGGAGACAGACATCTGGGCCCACAGCTCTCATCCGCCTGGGCCCTGGCTCTGGGGTGCTCCTGGGGGGCCTTCCCCGCCTCACAGGCTCAGGTCCCCAAAGTGCAGCCCACAGGGGCTCCGCACAGCTGGGACACCTTCCGAGGCAGAGAGGGCACAGGTCCACTGTGGCGGAGCCTCTGCGGAGTCCCCAGGAGGGGCGGCTCCCTGCTGGCTCTGAGCTCTGCCAGGAGGCATTAGCCTGGGAGCCAGCTGCGCTAGCCAGCCTGTCACACCCCGTCACAGGGCCAGCAGAGGCAGTGGACCCTCGTTTCCACCCGCTGGCCTGGTGCTGTGAGCTGGGGTGGGATGAGTCTCTCGGCCTCTGGGGAGTCCAGCTGGGGTAGGCGGCCAGGGCCTGGAGAGGCTCCTGTTCTTGGTGGGCTCCTCTCCCCAGGGCAGTGGTGAGTCCACAGCTGGTGGAGGGGCCGGGGAGGGCAGGGGGTGAGCTCATGGAGCTGGCTGGGGTGATGGGTGGTCAGCCTCTGGGTAGGGTGGCCTGCCACGGGCAGCTGGTACTCTGTGGTGGCATAGGAGGGAGGCTCGTTCCTGCTTCCCCAAGACCCCCGCCCTCTGCTGCACACACCCGTGGGGCCTGCACAGTCAGGGACTCCCCGAAAAGCTGCTGTGAGCGCTGTGCTCTGTCGACTCCCTGGGGCTAGGCAGGAGATGTCCAGGGCGGCTTCCCTGTCCACACGCCTGACTGCAGACCCCGCCCTGGGTCCTCACCTCGCGGTCCAGGCCAGCTGCCACCGTCACAAGGTCCCCCGTCTCACTGTTGATGGTGAACATGTTCTGGGATGGGCTCTGTGGCGTCTGGGTCACGATCCGGTACCGCACCATCCCATTGGCCGTGGTGCTGTCGTCGGCATCGTTGGCTGTGACCGTCATCACGTAGGTTCCTGGGGCGGAGAGAGCCGCAGGTGATGTCACTGACACATGGGCTCTGTCCCCTCTGCGTGGCTGGGGCCACCACGCGCCTGCAGCAGCCACAGCCCCCTCCCCGCGGCGTGGTCGGAGGTTCTGGAGCAAACCCCGACACCTGGCTCCAGTCGCTGAAGGCTCAAGGTTGCTTGGGGGGTCACTGCTTTGACCTTGGGGAGAGGTGGGGCTGGGAGGATGTGCTTCTCCCATGCTCCAGAGCACCGGGCCATGGTGGACAAAGCCCAGAGCCGAGGCCCCACACTAGCCTCACGGCCCAGCACTGGTGGGCAGTTCTTGCCATGCACACGCAGCTCCGTGGGCCGAGGCTCACTCCCCGAACACTTACAGGGCACCTACCATGGGCCCTGGCGGAGGCCCACCTGTGCAGCTCCCGACTGCTCCCTGCCCCGGCGCCTCTCCCCCGCCTCTCCCACCCGGTCTGGGCCAGGCGGTCACCTCTGGGCATCCTGCCTGGGCGTGGACACACCTGGGGACCCAAGGCCACTGCTTTCGTCCCCCGAGGGTTTTGCTCTGTGCTGAGCTGAGTCCCACCCTAGGCATGGAGCAGCAGGGGACAGGCAGGCTCCTCGTGCGAGACGTCCCCGACTGATGGGCTTCTGTTCACGTGGCCCCAAATGGCTCTACCGGGCACCCATTTCCAACTGCATGAGGTGAGGGATTCTTGGCACACCAGCCCGTGGTCCTGCACAAACCACCCCATGTCTGGAACATTCTGTCATCTTCGCCTGGCCAACTCCAGGAGTCCTCAGGTCTCAGCCTCAATGCCACTTCCTGGACCCCTGCACGGAGGTGCGGCTTGCCTTTCTGCAGCAGGTGCTCACTGGTGCCTGTTCTGCTGTGAGGTTACAGGCAGCACCGCCCCTCACCCTGCCTGCCTGGCCCTCTGCAGCCCTGGCAGGACACGCTCAGGTGTTAGCCTGCTTAACTCCTAGCTTCTAGCAGAGAGGAATCTTTCCAAGAGATCCATCTTGGAAAACAGACAGGAAAGCAAGCACTGGAGAGGGAGAGGTGGAAGTCTATTTTCTTATCTATGGGCAGGAGCACAGCTGGGCTCAGACCTTCCATGAGCCTGGGAAAGGAAGGGACGCCACAGCGGAGTGGAGGGTGGGCAGCCGAGGAGGCAGAACCATGCGCGAGAGGTCCAGCCCAGGGGCTCAAGGTCGCCAGGATGTAGCCCTTTCCACTCCTGCATTTACTCCACAGGTATGCACATCATCTGATATATCTATGTGTGTATACGCAAGTATATTTATTGAGATATAATTCACATACCATAAAGTTTGCCCTGTGAAAGTACAAGTCCACAGTTTTTAGTATTCCACAGAATTGTGCAACTATCACCACTATCTAATCCAGAACATTGTCTCATCCCAAAGAGAGCTCTGTACCCATGTGCAGTCACTCCCCATTCCTCTCTCCCCCAGTCCTTGGTGACCACCCATCTACTTTGTCGCTGTGGATCTGCCTACTCTAGACACTGAAGTGTTCCTAAAATTATATCATACGGAGCCTTTCATGTCTGGTTTCTATGAGGTCAGTGTTTTCAAGGTTCATTCTTTATGGCTGAATACTGTTCCATTGTATGAGGATATTCACCTCACACTTACAAACTTGAACATTTGCTACATATCATGCAGCATGCTCTATGCTTAGATAAAGCAATAAATACAGCCAGAAAAACACGGTCCTTATCCCCTTCCTACTAGGCAGAGAGAGACAAAGGAGGTAGAGAAATAGATACTTGCAAGCCATGACACGCACTTTACAGAGTAAAGAACGCATGCATGAAGAAATGAATACGCAGAATACCTGGCTGAGAAGGTAGGCAACAGAGGAAGCAGAAAAGGCTTCTCGGAGAGACAGAGGGGACAGGGTAGGGAGGACAGGAGAAGGGTGCTGAGCAGAGGGACAAAGGCCCCGGGGCAGGGAAGAGTTGTGTGTTGGTGAGGACCCAAGAGGGGCAGGGGCATGAGCTGGGGCTGGGATGGGCTGTGCACTCATCAGGGGGCGATGTGATCAAACTGATATCTTTAAGATACGCACAGGAAACAGACCAGGCAGTCGGGGGAACTGGGGGCTGGTAGCTATGGAAGAGACACATTCGTTCAGTGGGCCCCATAGAAAACTGGCTGTCATCAGACCACGATGCGGCAATGCGGGACCATGCACTAGGATGTCTGTTCATCCAACACATCTCTATTAAGCGTCTTCCAGGGAAGACAACTGAGAACTTGTGTGTTTTGAAGCCCTAGGATAAAAACATTTTCACACAGATCTACCCTAATTCATACAAAGAGTTGTTTGTAAATACAAACTTTATGAATTTAATTATCAATAGGCTTTTCCCAGAGGCAGCGGGGATTAAAAGAAATCCAGAAAGTTCTGTCTTTAGCAAAGACTATGGCTGTAAATCAGCCTTTCTCTGGAGGAAAACTGGACCAAAGCAAAACAAAGGGAAGTAAGCACCTGTTTAAGGCTCTAGAGAACTACCATGTGCAAAGACGTGTGGGACCAGTAGGAAGGGAATCCAACACTGGAGCCCTCTCTTCTCTGAAGGGATTTGCTGATTCCAAGGTTGGCTTAGGAAAGGCTGAAGTGCTGCTCAGTTCCTTCAGCTGACTCACGGGTGTGAAAGTCAAACACTGAAAGTCAGGCTTTCTGAAAAGGAGGGGACCTGGTAACCCTCTTGTCTCTGGGTTGAACTTTGACGTGTAGCACCCTAGGAGAGAAAGTGTTCTGGAAATAAATAGTCCTAACAGAAAGAAGTACAGCTCTGCATAAAGGAGCTTGGGTTAGAGAGATCAAGATTACTAGCACCTGTTGTGGAATGAATTTACAATCTCACCCAAAGGTCTCATATTTGGAAGTGGTCCCTAGTCAGAGGGAGAAGATCACTGGAAGGTTATATTATTATTATTATTATT